AGGGTGGAAACGGGATTGTAGAGTCTGTGGACGAGCGAAGTGACGTAAACAAAATAGAATCTGAAGGTTGCCTTCAGTTTCGAACAGAGCAAAAGAACGACGAGTCGCTGAAGCCCTTGTGGCTACAGGCAAAAAAAAGGACTCATGGAATGCAAGAGGTTGATGGAATGCTGTTCCACAAAGAAAAAATAAATGGCAGAATTGTCAAGCAGCTAGTTTTACCGGAAAGCAGGCGGAAGACAGTGTTAGAAGTAGCCCACGACAAACCAGTTGGCGGGCATTTCGCTGGAAAGAAAACGCAACAGCGAATTAAGAATTCATTTTACTGGCCGAACATGCAGGAGCAGATTAGTAAATACTACAAAGAATGCCATTACTGCCAGTTGAACGCGAGACCTAGAACCAGGGGCAGTGTGCCTATTACCCCGCTAGTAAGACCAGATGTTCCATTCCAGACAGTTGTAATGGATTGTATTGGACCGTTAGACCCGGCGTCGTCGAGGGGGCACAAATATGCCTTGTGTCTGGTTGATGTGTGCACGAGATGGCCAGAAGTGGTTTGTATCAGATCGCTAACGGCGAAGGCAGTGTGTGACGCGCTGGTTGAAATATTCGCGCGAATGGGAGTGCCAGAAACAGTCTCATCCGATCAGGGCACAAACTTCACGGCCGAGCTCACACAGGAGTTGCTGCGTAGGTTGGGGTCGTCACCCAGGTTCTCTACACCAGAACACCCAGAGAGCAATGGGCTAGTTGAGCGATGGAATGGTACGCTGAAGCGGATGTTGAGGCAAGTGATAGCGGAACATGGGCGGGGCTGGGATCGCCTAGTTCCTTGTCTACTTTGGGCCTACCGCGAAGTCCCGAATGAAACTACGGAGATGTCGCCATTTGAACTCATGTATGGACGTGCGCCGAATGGTCCACTGTCCATCCTAAAAAAATCGTGGACTGGTGATTGGACGCCCCCGTCCACGCTCGTTGAGTCGGCGGACAAATATCTGGTTAGATTAAGAAAACAAATGGCCGACATGACGCGAGTAGTAAAGGAACAGGCAGAGCAGAAACAGAGGTCGTACGCCACGCGTTACAATCTCCGTGCGAAAGAGAAGGCCTTTTGTAGGGGCGATCTAGTGCTACTAAGGGACACGAGTGGTAAAAAGATTAACTTTCCTTGGTTGGGACCAGCGAAAATACTAGAGGTTAGGAGAAAGAACAGCTACGTAGTTGAGATGCCTGACGGTGGCCGTAAGTGGATCCACGCCAACAAACTTAGGCCATACGTGGCACGCGTTGACGCTGTTGGTGTTATCTTTGATGATCCGGACTTCGGTTCGATGGAGGAACTCCCCACAGACGGGAGGGGAGCAGGTGAACCTGAATCACAGAAAACCGCGGAGGAAAAAGAGATGTACAGCATGGTACAGCAGTTCATACATGTCGTTTCTAGGCACCCAGGAAAGTGTGCGAAAGGACTACACAAGATAAGACTTGTCGAAGGTTCGCAACAAAAGAAGAGATATGCTTATAGGGTGCCGATAAAAACGAGAGCTGAGGTTGAAAGGCAGATAGAACAGCTTCTAGAATGGGGTATGATCTATCCAGTTGAATCAGAATTTGCTCATCCGGTAGTGTGTGTAGCGAAGAAGGATGGGAGTGTGAGATTGTGCATCGATTATAGGCAATTAAACGCGATCACTGAAGTCGATGCCTTTCCAATGAATAATGCTACCGAAATGATCTGGATGGTCGCGAAGGCGTCGTACATAACAGTACTGGACCTAACCCGTGGGTATTGGCAAATACCAGTCGAAGAACGGTCTCAGAAGTTCACGGCATTCGTAACCAATCGTGGGCAGTATGCATGGAAAGTTATGCCCTATGGGTTGAAAAATTCAGCGGCAACTTTTCAGTGCGTCATGAATGAAGTGTTGCGACCACACAGAGAATATGCAGGCGCATATATCGATGACATTGCAATATATTCTTCTAAGTGGGAAGACCACCTTTTGCATGTAAAAACCGTTCTCGAAACCTTAAGTCGCATGGGGCTTACGGTGAAGCTGTCCAAATGCAGGTTTGCCCAGGGAATGGTCATGTACCTCGGCCACCAGATCGGCTCTGGGAGGCATGCTCCTGACCCCGTTCGTATCAAGGCAATTCAGATCATGGAGAGGCCAAAGACGAAGAAAGAACTGAAGAGCTTTTTAGGGCTAATGAACTACTACAGTAAAACCTCGTTATAACAAAGCGGGATATAACAAACTAATGGATATAACAAAGCAACCATAATTCCCCTTGCTTGCTAATAGTGGGAAGAAATGGACATTGGCTATAACAAACTAATGGTTATAACGAAATAATTACGACCGCTCCTTCAACTTTGTTATAACGAGGTTTTACTGTATAGAGACTACATTGCGAACTATGCTGAAGTGGTGTTGCCGTTGACCGCGCGAACTGGAGACAGGACTCCAAACGTGTTACCGTGGGGTGACGAGGAGGAACAAGCGTTTCAAAAGGCAAAGTGTCTCCTGATGGAAGTCCCAGTCATGAGAGCGCCAGATGCCAGGCAGCCTTTTGTTCTGTCCACCGACGCATCGGATAGAGCTATAGGGGCATGTCTTGCCCAAAGGGCAGGTGATGGGAAAGAGTACCCGGTGGCGTTTCTCAGTAAAAAACTAACTGATCCCCAATCCCGGTGGGCTGTAATCGAACGCGAAGCTTACGCGATTCTGTGGGCCTTGGGTCAGTTGGAAACGTGGCTATTTGGGGCGGAGGTCGAAATTCGCACCGACCATAACCCTTTGCAGTATTTGGCGTCAGCAGCACCAAATAGTGCGAGGCTGACTCGTTGGGTGCTAGCGTTGCAAACATTTAACCTGAATGTCCAGTACGTAAAAGGGACGAGACATGTCCCTGCTGATGCGTTGTCAAGGCTGTAACCGGGTGGAGTTTTGTTTGTGGTCAATGTACTTCAGATGTTCTCAAGAAGTTTGTCAGTCTTTCTAGTGATCATTCACGCCGAATGGACGGGAATGTGCGCGCAGTTCGTTTTCTTTTGTTCTAAATGCTACGATTGTAACGGAATACACAAATTGTGATTTTTTTATTGGAAAAGAAGAAAAAAAAGGGGGGGGGGGCGTGTCATGCATGTGGCATGCACGCGGCAGCGGATTCAGCGCGCGCCGTCGCCGACGGGTTATCGGGCTTTGTGATTGTTATATTTTTGTTACCCGTGGTGTGCGCTGATTGGTGCGACGAGAAAAAGACGAAGTGACGACGAAAGGACCGAGGCTGGAGACGGTGCACGAGGAGAGAGAAGGAACGCGGTGGGCTGGAGCTGGTGCAAGCACGACTTCGAACCGGAATAAAACGCTTTCCCCCCAAAAGGCTGGCTCCCTGCCTTCCCGGGTCCCACGGCGCCCAAACCACAAGCCGCACAGAGAACGCACGACGCACGACGCACAGAGAAATTCAGCCTTTCCACTCTGGTGAAAATTAGAGCAGAAAGGCTGGATAGGCTGTCGCCTTCTATAAGCAAGGCCGGCAAGCCGATTGTCTGGTTGCCGCCGTCGCTCATAGATGGCAGTAGCTGTCCAGAGTTCCAAAGTTTTGTGTCGACATTTTTGTACGGGGACATGATCTTGGGGAAACTAGCCCTTAACAGCTCCGCTGTACAAGGTACAAAAACAACAAACCAGACAGGACAGAGCGCTGTTTTATCTCATCATGTTTAACTTTTTGTACCCTTTTGCGCCGTTTTATCTCATTATGTTTAACAAGTAACAACTAGCCCAGCTCTCAACCTGTCCTTTGGTTTGAACCCCAAAAACCCCTCCCCCCGTCGGTGCACCACTGCACACTCAGCTTCTTGGCCGCTTGTCTGCCTTCCCGCGACTCTCGATCTCGCTCCGAAGCAAAGGTATTTTGACATTTGAAAGCTACCCGTGTCGGGCATTGCTCTGGATGTGTTTCCCTTCGTTCGACCCGCAGGAGTTGCTCAGAGGAGCTCCAATTCAATTGTCTGTCTCGCAGTTGTAAGCGGCAATGAACAACAGACGGCGCTTGCCCGCGACTCGCGAGCGGTGGATTCACACGTGGACGAGAGGTCAACCAGCCCTGCTCGTCCACGTGTGAACCAACCGCTCGCAAGTCGTTCGCAAGCGCCGTCTGTTGTTCGGCCATATTCAACAAGGTTCAGAGCGCCATCGGTCGTTCTACGCCAAAGACAAGTGTCGGGAATTCTGACCACTCGTTTAACACGCAAGTCGGCCGCGCATGAATGTAATTTCGGGTTTTTTGGGATGCTTAGAGCTCGTAGATTGGGTTACGACCATAAAATGAAAATCTCGAAATGCAGTTTAGTGCCCCTTTAAGGAGCAATCGTTTAAAGTTGTTTAAAAGAAACGAAACGGTCGTTTCTGGGAGTGAAGAACCCAGACTTTATTTAGCGGGGAAACTGACTTGTTGCGTATGTCACGTGACATCAATTTTCCCACCAAATTAAGCGGGAAAACTGAATTCGTGTATACGCCCGAGACGTTGAGTCACACGACATCAATTTTCCTACTAAGTTAGGTGGGGAAACTGACTCAGTGCATAGGTGATATGAGATCAATTTCCCCGACAAATTTAGTGGAGTAACTGAATTAGTCACGTGACACCAACTTCCCCCGCTAAATTTGGCATGAAATGCATGCACGATGGACGAACAGAGTTTTGGGATTTTGAGGTTTTGCTAGAAAGCATCTGATGCTTTTAAAGTCGAGTGTGGTTGTTCCAATCGCTGCTGCCAAAGCTTCCCTGGACCGTCAGACTGGAGCGCGAGCACAACGGGCACGCTTTGCCTCCTTGCAAGGACTACGTTCGAGGTCGACACGCCGGCCCGAGGGCCCGATTTTGGCCGCTGCAAGACGTAAGTTGCGTCTCACGCAGCGAGCCGACGATGCCAAGAAGGCTCTCCCTTCGAACAAAATGGAACCTCGGAGCCGACCTACGTGTAGCGGGTGGCGTCCAGACGCGTCTGGTCCCGAGGGGGCAGCACCGGTGGCGAGCAGGCCGGCCAGCAGGGCCACGTGTCCCCCGAGGCAGGCCAGGTGGACGGCCGTGCGCCCGTCCTCGTCTTTGGCCTCCGTGGCATAGCCGACCCGCAGGAGCTCCCTCACCACCACTAGGTCCCCTGCATTTGAAAAAAGCCTCTGCAGCTCCCAACGGTCACTCGCCACTTGGGAACAACCGCATTGCTTGTCCACACTTCCTATGTTGCGACGAAGCTGTTGGCAAACCTACGCAGAGAACCTGGGCACTCCCTCCCCCAAAGAGCAACCCAGTGTCGGGAACAGCCCAGTTAGAGAACCCAACGCCTATACAAAGGCAGCAATCAATCTGCCTAAAATTATTTTGACACGTGGGATTAAAAAAAAAGCAGTCCTCAAAGATCGGGCGGGCTGTTCACAGAGTTCGTTGTAACCTGGTTCCCAGAATTGTGCAAACTACCGCACTTTTGCTTCCTTTTGCACGCTGCTGTTTGCAGTGAGAAAATCTATTTTTATTGATTTTGTGCGCTGGAGTAGCGTTTACACAGAATAGATATCAATAAGTGCATATTCTATCCTAAAGAGGCCCTCTAATGATATCTCAGCTTCTTTCTTATTTCTGTTATTACCTCATTAGTGGTTCGGGTTACCCGGAGAACAAGTAGTAGACACGAAATGTTAGCGCATGATATTTTAATTTGATCTAGCAAAAAGACCTAAACATATGTGTTGAAAACCCGCGACCAGTGACATCCCCGGTAACCATTTTGTGACGGGCAGTGTCGGCAAGAGTTGTCAGAATTTTCTTTATGCAGGCTAAATAACGTGTGTCAGTTCGTAAATCGTAGTTATTCTTTCGAGAAAGCGTTTTTATTGAGTGAGAAAGATAGAGAAAAAAAAGTTTCACATGTGCAGAGACAAAAAAGAAAAAAAAAAACGACACGCCCGCCTCCGTGCGGTGAAACCAGCCAAACCAGCTGCTGGCATATTGAGCTGATTGAGCACTAGCTTGCCCCAGCCAGTTAGCCCAAGCGCGGTCACCCCATTCGGGAATTGACGTGTCCGACTATATCATTTCATTTCATTTCATTTCATTTATTATTCCCTCAGGGCCCGAAGGCATTACAGAGGGGAGTGGGCGGTCGACAGATAAAAATAACATAGTTGAACGAGGCAAAAATAGAAAAAAAAACAAAAAACACACACACACACACAGCAAAAACACGCGCTACGCATCATCTGTTAAAAAGTTGGTAATAGCATTTTTAAAATAAACAGTGTTAGTTATTGAGACTATATGTGCGGGAAGGCGATTCCAATCAATGGAGGTTTGGGGTAGAAAAGAAGCATTAAAAGTGGATGTGCTACAATGGGGAATCCCTACCTTTAGGTCATGGTCTACACGTGATGATATGTACGATGGTTCTAAAAACAATGCTTGACGGAGAGCGGGGTTAGAGTAATAAATCTTGTGAAATAAACATAGACGAGATATTTTTCTTCGGAGAGAGAGATCAGGTAAGGAGAGGGACGATTTCATGGAAGTTACACTGGCTGTACGATGATAGTTCGAGAGTATGAAACGGGCAGAACGATTTTGAATAGATTCGACAGCTGATGCAAGGGTGATACCGGGGCTCCAGATAGAAGCTGCATATTCCAGTTTAGGACGAACTAGGGTTTTATAGAGGAGAAGTTTTAACGAAAGAGGAGCAAGCGAAAAGTTACGTTTGAGATAGCCCAAAAGCCTATTTGCGTTGTTAGTGACATATTGGACGTGGATATTCCAGGAGAGGTCGTTGGTTATGTGAATGCCGAGATATTTATAGGAGGACACAGAAACTAAAGTAGAATTGTTAATAGAGTAGGAAGGACAAGTGTTGTTATGACGAGATACTCTCATAGATGTACATTTAGTGATGTTAAGCTCCATGAGCGATTCCTTGCACCATTTGCAGATGTTGTTAATATCAACCTGAAGGGCGGAAATGTCAGAGTCGTTAACTATCTCTTTATAAATTACACAATCGTCAGCGAACAAACTAATAGAGGAAGAAACATGCACAGGAAGGTCATTGATATAAATAAGAAATAAGAGTGGTCCGAGTACGGAGCCCTGAGGGACACCGGAGTTAATAGGTGAGGGCGAAGAATTAGTGTCATTAGTTCGAACAAATTGGAAGCGATTCGTTAGGAATGATTTTATCCATGTGAGGACATTGGGATCTATATTAAGGTTACTAAGTTTATGAAGAAGTAGCTGGTGAGAAACCTTGTCAAAAGCTTTTGAGAAATCCAGGAATATGCAGTCAGTCGTAGAACCCCGGTCTAGAGTGAGGTGAAGATGATGAGTTAATGTTAGCAGTTGGGTATCACAGGAATAAAACTTTCGAAAACCGTGTTGAGCTGTGTTGAAAAAAGAGTTAGAGTCAAGAAAATTAACAAGATGTGAATATATTACGTGTTCAAGAATTTTGCAAGGGATGCTCGTTAGAGAGATCGGGCGGAAATTAATAGGATTATGTTTATCGCCGCCTTTATGAATTGGAATCACCTTCCCCACCTTCCAGTCACTGGGTAATATTCCTTGTTCGAGAGACTGGGAAAAAAGATAAGATAGAATAATGCTTGAATACGTTTTAGTGTTCTTTAGAAACTTAACGGTTACATTGTCGATGCCGGCTGCCGAAGAGGTTTTAAGATTTTCGATTATGTTAGCAATCCCTTCAGATTCTATAGTGACAGGATACATTGGCAAAAAGTTACAAACTGGAGCTGCGGTAAAGTTGGAGGTAACAGGGCACGAAAACGCTTTGACAAAAACATCATTTAAAACAAAAGAACACTGATCATTTGGTACATCAACTCCGTCAGCCATTCTAAGCGCAACATCGGAGCTTTCAGTGGGGTTAACAACTTTCCAAAATTGACGGGGGTTGTTTATTAGCATAGATGGTAACAGAATATTAAAAAATGAGCTTTTAGCCTCTACAACAGCATTTTTGTACACGCCCGCAGCTAGATGGTACGCTGCCCAATGCTGTACGTCATCCTTCAGCTTGGCAGCACGAAACAAACGCTTCTTTTTATTTGAGAGCCTTTTCAGAGTCACGGTATACCATGGCGATTCAGGTGACGACGTTATGTTGCGAAGAGGTACATGTGCCTTCATCAGTGATACCACCTTATCTTTGAATAAACGCCAGTTGTCTGCGACTGAGCGCTCGGCAAAACAGTGCATATACCGATCTAAAAAGAGACTCATTTCATTGTTAATCACATCAAAGTCCGCTCTAGCATAATCGTGTATTTGCTTTATTTGTTTTGATTTGCGGGAACTGGGAATGTTTAATATAAAATGCAACAAGGAATGATCACTAATACCAGGCATGTAAGTCAATGAAGCAATAAGCTCGGGCGATGTTGTTAATATAAGGTCTAAAACAGAGGCAGTTGTAGTTGTAATGCGCGTCGGTTTCGTAACAATTTGTGCAAAGCTAAAGTCCAAGCACAAGTTCAAAAACTCACTACTCTCTGAAGAAAAGGGACCGAGGCTAGCACCCATATCTGACCATACTATGGCGGGGTAGTTAAAATCACCCAGCAGCATTATTGGCGTATTGGGAAAACGCATCATGACTCCGTTAATGGCGTCGTGTAGGCTTGTAACAAAAGTGGCACTTTTTGAAGGAGGTCGATAACAAACGCCTAAAATATATTTTTTTGTTTTTAACTGAAGACAAACCCATAGAAGCTCCAGTTCAGAAACAATACTGATTTGAAATGATAATACGTTTTCCGCCACCGCAACCAATACGCCACCGCCATTTTTTTCGCCTCTGTCATGACGGTAAAAATTGAAACGTTTATGACAGTTTAGTATTTCATCGTTACGTATTTTGCTTGACAACCAGGTCTCGGTGAGAACAACAACATCCGCGTCTGATGAGTCCACAATGGACGACAAGTCATCGCGGTTACGTATAACGCTTCTAATGTTAGTAAATATAACAGAAATATTTACAAGGGGTGACTCACTAATGTCATCCGAACGCTATGACAGAGCAGGTGCGCGACACTTATTTCTGTGATCTGAATATGCTGCATGCTGTTCTCGTTGTTCAGTTTGATGTCTCTGTGTTTCTTTTTGTCAGTGTGCACAACGTCCGTGCACAACATACCCCAAGAAAGAGTCTCACTCACTCATGGTGGGAGTGAGTGAGAGAGTGATTTATTTCCACTTAAATTGGTGCGCACACGGTGGTGTGCCAGGCAAAGCAGATAGGTAAAAACCCTTACGTGCGTGCACCTGCTAGCTAATAGAAAATTGCCACTTAAACCCACAATTTTTCATACATTGTAATTCTGCATATGACGCTTTGATCAATACATAGAAAAACATAATGTAAGTAAAAAACACGCAGAACGACGAAGACTAGAGGGAAGAAACAAACGAGACCCTCTAGACTTTGTCATTCTGCCCTGTTTTGCCTACATTATGTTTAGCCTAAACCAACTAGCCCAGCTTTCAACTTTGGTAAAGAAAAACAGCTGTCAATTTTTTGTTCCCAAATATTAATTTTCTAATACTAACAAAAAAGAAAAAAATCACCGTGGATCGTTTACTGTTATATTTTTTTATAGTCCAGTTCCAATTCAGTTCCAAGATGGCAGCGAAGATTTTGGTTCAATTCAGTTCCGATTTGGCTAAAAATAATGGTTTGGTTCCGGAATGAAGCGAGAATTCTGAAATTAAGCGACTTAAGAAAAAAGGAGAGTCAAGTTCCTCGTGCACTTGTATCAAGAACACTTTACAGTGCAGCCTTGAGTGTTTTTCAACGAAAACACACACTTACCCTGATGAAAGCCTCATCCAAATATAATGAAAAAACCCATAGCTGGCATCACCAGCAGTTTCACCTAACCACCCTCTGAGGCTGGGAATATTAGGAGAAGTCATCTTTAGGACAATGGGAAGGCATTTGGGCAATTCTAGTACCGGCTCAAAACGAGACAACTGCAACCTCCTGTGCCTAGAGCGAGCTCGTCCCACCTCTTTCCACTTTAGAAGAGAGGAGAGGAGGTCAGCTTCCCTCCGGTGTTCGCTCTGCTCAAGTGGTAAGAGCTGGGAGACTGTTAACTTTTCACCGAGTATAAAAGATGCTTTGAAAAAGCCCCCAAAAAGAGGTTGAACGAAGCAAAGCACCTGTCTCTTTCTCGTCTTTTCCGACGCTTTTTCCAAACATCAAGATGAATCAACTGACCTAAATGACCACTTTTTTCTACAAGATGTGGACAAGTATTACACCTCAAAGGCAATCTTCTTTTGCAGGGTTCCGGGAAAAACAGAGGGCCACAAATGGAAAGACTGGTGATACTATCTGCCCGTGGTAATGCTTCACTACTCGATTAAAACGTTGCTCCCCCCAAAGACAGAGCACCAGGCGTCGTCTACAAGATTCCTTGCACGGATCCCCACTAATGTCGGAAAAAGCAAGAAATTTCGGAAGAGTATAGACCATTCCATTTAGCGCTCTCTGGGCGGCACCATTTTGTTCGACCGCAGCGCCCTCTCCACACATCCGGGAAGTTCAGCGGGTTCGCCGGGGTAAAACTAGAGAGAGGGCACGTGCCCGACTCCGCTAGCAGACGACAAACCGGGGGGGGTGCCGTTCTCCATCTTTGGGCTGTATCGGCGGGCTCTTCCGAACATCGAACTCTCGCTCATGGCTGCCGTTGTGAAGTGGTTTGCGTTCTTAGAATAGTTGTGGCTACTTCAAAATCAGCCTAAAGCTCTCTGTTGTTCTATTTTGCTAAATGATCAACTAGCATATCTTTTTCCCGTTACTTAAATAGCAGTTGAGTCAGCCGGCAGCACTACCCTCAACTACTGCAAGTATTGCGGCAGGAGAGCACGTTTTATTTATTATTTCAGACTTCCACTCATGGTCGCTAAAGGCCTACACCAGTACGAACTTTGTATAGTAAAAAAGGTACAGCAACCGGATTTACTTTTCGCCAAAGAGACCGGCCAATCTGAGACAGTTTTCCCTGTCTTTTTTTTCATTTGCACACAGGTAAGAGCGCAATTGGACCCTGCGAGTCTTTTTTATCTGGCATAATATTACACGACAACTGGCATACCAAAATCTGCACATCTGCGCTTGAAAGTTCCAAAATGACGCGATTTTAAACAGAGTTTGCACGCCAGCCGGACGCTAGCTACAGCCCACTCGGCGGAGCGGACGACATGTGGGGTGAGAGGGGGAGTGCATTTGTTTCTCTTTTTACCCTCTCTGCTATGACCCTAATGGAATGGTCTGTACGCCAGCCCCAAAATGATGTTCGCTATTGGTGTTTGCAGTCAAAGCAGAAGGTGACTTCTAGGGACACTTTCTTCATGAGAGGAGCCACGAGGAAAACAGTACCCACCCTGCCTGATGGCACGGTGCAGAAGGTTGGTGCGGCCGTGACGCCTCGTGTCGGGGGGCGGGGGCCCACCCCCGGGGCAGGGGCGACCCAAGGGGCAACCCCAAGGCGCTCCTTTGGGGCAACTGCTCTGGGCCACCAGTTCCTCGAGACCTGCGACCAAGACTGTCGTCAGACCCTTGCCGCATGGCCGACGACGACCAAAACCCGACGGGCAACGAGGAAGGACGACGTTGTGCCCAAATGGCTCGCAGTAAGGATTTTAAATTTCGTTTGCCACATTTCATGGCACACAATGCACACGGGATAAGAATGCAGAGGAGGTGTCTCCGAAGGTTCTATTATTAGTTCTGTGCAAGTTATACTTAGGAAAAAATTATATTTCTAGCTAAACATTACAGGGCTTGGTCAAGTTATAAGAATGTTCTACCCAGTTCCTCTTTCCCCCCGGTGCTCGGTTACTTTGCTCAACTACAATTTGCGAGTAGGCCGATAGATGCCCAAATAGTGGCACAAAATAGAGAACATGTAAAAACAAGAACTTTTCTCAGAAAACTCCAAGTAACTAACGGGTTTCAGACGTTTGTTGGCCAAGTGTGCACATGCACTGCAACAAGCAAAACCTTGCAACGAGGAATGCGACACATTCTCTTTGCCCCGCTGCGATTTGAGAAAAAGAAGGGTGCCACACCAGTGTGCATTCGTGCACCCACCTAATGGGCAATAAAAAAGAAACATTCTGCATCCGCCAGTACACAAGGTGCCAGCTTGCGAGGCTGCGTCTCACCGTATTTGAGCAACAAATTTTTGGGCTCCCTGCTACTTGGCTTCGCTGCGTGACTTTTGCAACGGCCGTCTGAGCCACGCGCAGACGAAGGAGCGAGTCCTCCCTGGGAACTGATTATGGACACTACAGGACCTTAATATCGTGGAGCGAGCCAAGATAGGATTCACAGATGGTGCGCCCGCTAAAGCGAGCCAAGAACGTGGTTCGTCTGCCACGAAGCGTCATTCGCGGATACGAATAGAATGAGAAAATGGCGTACGTCATCTTCGAACAGACTAGAAGAAAATACTGACTGTAAGCTATGAACTGAGCCCCGCATCCAAGCGAGACCCAATGCCATTACATGTTGAAAGCCACTGACAACACACGCTTGGTTTGCAAATCCCCAGTTGTTCCTCTGAAATACAAAAGCTGACATGGACCGGTGGATGAACTAAGGACAAGCACACCAGAGGACGCGACACCTCTCTCGCTGTGTTGGTAAGATGTTCTGACCAAAATAACAGGTAAGAAAGCCTCGGTTACCGTGCACTACAGGGCCGCCGTCCACGCTAAAGAAGGCGTCCTCGCGGTGCCGGTGGACCTGCAGATGCAGCACGTCGCCCCGATGCAGGATGCTCAGGGCGAAGTCCCCAGGTGAAGAGCTGCTCGGGCGCACCAGGAACAGGCCTGCCTCGTCCGCTCCTGCAACAGCCATTCCCCCTTTATTCTACAAACAACAATGGGTTGACTAAATAGGATGACATGGTAGAACGTTGTCCATCCTGCCGGTGTCATGGTACTCCAACTGCCAGAATGCAGATTCCAATAGCATTCCCTGCAACATTTACTGCCACTTGGGGACATCTTCGAAGTCACGCCGTTGCCTGCCACAGTCCCAACAGGGGCACGGACGATCCTTCTACCGCTCTCACGCTCCGCGAAAGCTGATGGCGATGCTCGCCCTTACTTTTTGCCCAAACTTTTCACGTAGCACGACAACGTTCTGAGAACATTCCGGGAATGTTCAAAAGAACATAGGAAACATTCTTGGAACGTTGCAAATTTAAGTAAGAGCATTCTATACGTTGTCAGAATGTGGCACTTATCGCTACATTCGGGGAATGTTTTCTACGAGAACAACATAGAACATTACCAGTACATTCAATCAACATTCAAATATCCTAACAAGGTTCTAAGAATGTCCTCAGAACATCCAAACAACTTCTACAACTTTCTTGAAATGTTGCAAATTTATGCAGGGGCATCCTTTCAACCTTCTCAAAACATGGTGTGGGTACATCGCTACATTCAGAGAACATTCCCCGAGGACTATTTACAAAGATTCCGCAATTACGGCTTGCTTAGGCTACATATATAGATGTGACAAAGCTCTTCATATGGCATTATTTTTTAATCGAAACAAATTTTTAGAAGGTACAAGCGCAAGCTAGCCGCTTTCCCAGCGCACCTGCCCGAGCATGTACAAATGACAGTTTACTCCTACCTGTCACTTGTCAAATTCTTTTATTCAAAATGTGCTGTACACATAACCGATTACTCCCTCCATGCTTAAGGCCACGGTCCCACTGAATGTGGCAGTTTAGGTACTTTTTGGCAGGTCCTTACTCATCTTCTTTTAAATACTGTTTTGTGGGATTGATGTCATTCGAAAGGCAATGCAATCCTTTCATTTGATATTATGTATGTGTTGGTTTTTACTGTTCATGCGCATTTTTAGCGTTGCGAATATAATGGCACGGACCCTCACTTGCTCCGCTAGTTCATGTTTTATGAACGATCCATTAAAGATAGCACGGTTCCAATATAGCAGTTTTGTTAAGATGATGTCGGAGCAGAATGTAACGATACCCTTTTTTGGTATTTGCACTACTTTGTTTTTTTCATCCCTCCAAATATTGCCCTAAAATTGACATTTTTCAGCACAAATATGTTTTTAATGACAAGCGCTAGGGCAATGAAATTAGCTACAGATGTAGTGCTTATAATTGGTAAAATGCAGAAAAAATTGTAATATTGTGTAAAATTTTTTTGTTTAGATATTTTATATCAAACATAGCACTTTTTTGTGCTTCGAGTCATGGTACTTCAAATGCTGCTGAGGAAATAATTAAACTATGATAAAATCTTTTATAACATTTAGAGCTACAATGGTTGCCCAAGAGGTGGACGATGGCTTTTTTTCATTTTCAAAGTCATAACGCTCCAGGAGCCCTTCAAACTTACCTGTTTTTGACGCATATCTTTTTTGGACATCAAACAGATTTATTGGCATTTAATAACATTTGTTGTTTGGAATAGATATACATTGCGATGTATTAAATTTTCACAATGATCTTACTTTGGTTTCTTAATAGGTGTAGAGCTTAGCTAATTTTAAAAACAATTAAAAACTGTTTGGGTGTTTTGTTGCGCTACCTGGCGGATGGGAGACAAACTGCTGATTTCTAGTGTTAAAAATATTTCCGAGGGGCGGCTTTGGCGTCTGTATCATCATCAATGTCCGTGTCTTTGTACCTCCACATTTAAAAATATATTGGAAGATTTACTATCGATAAATGAATGGTTTAAGTACTGGGTCAGGTTAATAAATCTAAGACAAATAATTACACATGTGTAGCGTGATATAATGTGTTCATTATTCGATATGATTGAAATCAATAAACAATAAAGACGAAGAGGAAAATAATACACCCGAGTTCACTTCATGCCCAGAGTCACTAAATGAGCTTTAAAGTATCGGCACTCCGTTCCCCAAAATTGTTTTGGGCGCCGCCATTTTGGGTCTTGTTCAGAGCAAACACAACTGCCGATCGTCATGATCCAAAAGTATGACTTCCTCAGCATTAGATGCGGTGCTAGGAAGCTGATGCAATATTGCAATGCTCTGCCGTCGGTTGTTTAAACATTTGTGGGGGACGGAAAAATGTTTCCAGTGATTTTAGATAAAGATTCAAGTAACTGGCAACCATGATTTTAAGCCACAATATGGCCAAGTGTCGTTACTCTGAACCGTAGCTAATTTACTGGCACAAGCGGGAACAATGAGGAAGAGGCAGGTGTCAAAAGGTAGTGGCTTGTGGAAGCCACGGGGCTTACATCATGGCCCCTCCAGGTATTACAAGCCTCTTGAACAAGAGCATGAATAGTGTCATTAAATAAGCTACGCGTCAGAGTAGCGACACTTGGCCATATTGTGGCTTAAAATCATGGTTGCCAGTTATTTGAAGCGTTATCTGAAATCACAAGAAACGCTTTTCCGTCCTCCACTTTAAACAGTGTGCGACAAAGCAAAGCAACATTACATGAGCCTCCTAACACCGAATCTAATGCTGAAGATGTCGCACTTTTGAATCATGACGATCGGCAGTTACGCCTGCTCTGCACAAGCACCAGAATGGCGGCGTTCACAACACTGTCGGGGAAGAGAGTGCCGATACTCTAAGCGCAGCTAATTTATTTGCTCTAGTTCCCGCGAAACTCCTTTTCCCTGATTGAAACTGAAAGTAACTATGAATAATACACCATTATTATAGCTTATTTAGTTATAACCAACTACACATAATGAGAGGAGGAAGCGGCCGGGTAGGGGAAATGCGGGTTTTATGTGCGACCGTTCTAACCGTCTCAAAAGAGAGAATGCGCGAGCTTGCGCTGGTTTAAAAAAAGGCATCCAAAGAAAAGAGGCGGTACGTCTAATTGCAAATTGTTGTGTGTATGTTTATACAGCCGGAAGTTAGTCCGCCTTAGTGGGTGTCTGACTCTCAGCTGTAGATGAGCATTTTAGCCAGTGCGGTACAACCGCAAACCTGGGGTCTTTAACGTGCACCGTGCAGTAGTGATACACGATTGCACGCCAGTACGATGCTCCCTTTACATACACAGTGAGTGCCAAGTTCATTATCAAGTTTTAAAAACGATTGCTTTTCTTCTACGCCTTAATCACATTCCTTAGTAGACTCATACAAGATAAAAGTGACCCTTATGCTAAGTTTCCAGAAACTCCACTTAATTTGCATATTTTTGGCGCAAAGTGGCCTATTGTGGATGGTGTTTCGAACCACAGGTTGCGTGAGAGCTCTGTAAAGTTAGCGTCACCTGCGAACATTCTAGGAATGTTCGCAAGTGAACGTTCCAAGAATGTTGCACGTATGAATGTTCCCCAAAAGGGATCATTCCGAAAACATTGTGCATATGAATGCTCGCCAAAGAACATTCCTAGAATGTTGAGCAGCTTACCGTGTAGGGAATGTTTGCATACAAACGTTCCTAGAACATTTCGAAAGGTGTTTTACCATTCCTTCAACATTCAAGACATCCAGGGAATGTTCGCACAACATTGGGCGCTACTTGGGTTCTACAACTGACTGCCAGAATTGCGACGTCCCACAATGTCACTCGCCAAGAGTCCTAGCCGCTCACTTTCTCGTCTGCCTCCTTCTTAAATACAAACAATTTTTAGAGCAATATTTAGGTGGCCAGTGATATCTTTAACTAGGAGCAATTCCAAAACAAGCTTCTAGTTTGGACATCCAACCCAATATAGAAATAAGGTTCCGAATAGCTTCCAAAGTAACTCCCAAAAAGCTTTTTTTTAGGTGCTTGATTAGGGCGTGTATGTCGCGAAACAACCATTTCCATTTGGAGATGTCACCCTCGAAACAGATGTACATTTCGAAATCAATCAGATCAGTTTCGCGACGTGAATATGGCACAGCAATTTTTTTTTCGAGGAAAGATAATTTTGCGACGTGTCCGATTCGGGTCACATTTCTGTCATTTCTCGTCCAATTTAAGTTACATTCTCACAGCTATTGTAATTTGTTGAGCACAAACAAAAGCCAATTGTTTCAAAGCTTATAGTTTTCAAGATAATTTCTAATTTTTCCCGTAGGTATTTATGTCCCACTTTTGTTTATAATACCCCCTTAAAAAACAATGTCATAAAGCAGCATGTTTTACAAACAGCAGGTGGTGCAACCACCCCCTTTTATAATCAGAGCAGAGTTCCATATGTAAAAAAATTTCCAATGGTAACACTTAGCAAAAAGGAACGGAACAAGGATGACGAGATCAGCAAAACGCTTTGTTTATCCTGCCTTTCTTGTCCCGTTCCCTGGCACTTTTATTTTTGCACAATGCACCAACCAGCCCACCTTTCCATTCTATCATAATAACTAGAGTCAATAAAGTGTACCTCAATTAGCAAATCTTGTATCGAGCATTTTCTGGAAATATTAGTCTTGCTCAACTCTGTTTACGAGGTATTGTATTCTGAAAAAAGTATTCAGATTCATATACTACTACATCCAAAGGCATATCATTGGCAAAATCTTGCGTCGTGCCAAAAATGTTAATTTGAAAAAAAACTAAAAGCTTTTCAAAACCTGCTTGTAAACAGCCTGGATATGGAACTCTGGATTGATGTAACTAAATTAATGCACACTTTCTGAGTGTAGTAAACTTCAGTGTATGTTGTATACAAGTTTAAAATAAAAACAAGCGTTTTAAAACATGACTTTTTCAAGACCTCGGAGAGTCAGGGATGCACTTGCCCAATCCCTGTAGCAACTTCTCGGCAGACGCCCGATCTGCGCTGGCGTGAAACCATTCGCAGGCGTCTGGCGTGTGCACAGTGCTGGCCAGAGTCCCACGGCGCTCTATCACAAAGCTTGCATCGTCCAGGACTGCACCTAAAAGAACAGAAGCTTTCGTTTAAACAAATAGTGAGGCAGATCAGAAGAGCACGTCGTCCTGAACACCATCAAACCGCCAAGGCTTTCCCAGCTGCACGGTGAAGCCTCCGGACAGCACCCTTTGCCCAGGCACTTCTTACAGCTGGTAAAAGTGTCTTGGCAAACCTCGAACCTTCAAGCAACGGTGCTTGCGATGTTGAGAAGATCGCGTCGTCCCCCCCTTGTATATATCACCTCATAATCATCATCACTAGACGTGGCACTGCGGGCCTCCATGGTACGGGCTGTCGCCTTTCCGCGGTGCCACGGCTCTCCTGAGCCAATAAAGATTACGATTACGATTATGATTAAATGTAGATCATTCAACGGAGGTTTTGCAAGACCATCTGGGCCACGCATTTTTTTCATATTATGGAAAACTCATATTATTTGTGTCTTTTGGGGGGAGGCATTCATATGTGACGATGTGGATTTTGGGGAGCAATCACAAACTTGAAAGAAGTTGGTTAAAAAGAAGGAAGAGGAAATTTGAGAAGGGGCGCAAGACGAGCAGTGGACGGAACGGCCTGCAGAGGCACGATTCCGGGCAGGCGGCCTGTGGGTATGACAGTCGGGCAGGTCGCCACACCCGGACCATAGTGTCGACACGATGGCTGTGCACCAAAGGACTGTAAATATCCCCATATTGCTCTTCTTCCGAGTTACATACGTCTCGTTTTACATACACCATTTTTGAAATTTCCTGTCCTCATCCTTTACCACAATCATCTTCACACCATATCACCGACACATCGCTGCATTGGGACATGAACACAAGATGGCAACAGTCACTTTCATCAGCTACGATGGCTGACAGAAACTTAGATGCAACAGTGCAAAAAGACACATGGACAAACAAGGGGACTTGTGTGCCTCCCCCTCATGCTCTTGTAGCAACCAGCGGTGCAGTATCTTGAAGGATTTTATGTATTTACAATTTAAAGCAGACGTTGGTTCGCTTCACCTGGTGTAGCCCACAGGTCGTTTGCGTCTCATGCGTGCTGTGCCCGTGGTTCGTGCCCTCTTCTTTGGTTTTATGGCGCCACACCCTTTTGTACTGTTGCTTTCAACTAGGAATTTTTATCTCCCGCTGATATGGAAACCTTTCGAGGGTGAGAAGCAAATAGGGAGGGGGGTAGGTGCATTGAAGACCTCTCCCAGACATGTGACCAGAATACTTGGGAAGCTTCCTGTTAAGAGAGATGAGCCCAAGAAAGCCTCTTGCAGTAATCCCACTGAACCCAAAATAAAGATCTTCCTGTCAAGCTCCACATACGGCTTTGGTCTTGTTTTGAAGAGAATGAGGCCACCAGCAAGCTATATTACGAGCGGCGGTTATGCACGTTGCCGAAGCGACGATGGGCCTGCCAGGTGTTTGTAGGTAATCCTCAAAAACATCAACACCCGACGGGTGAAAAGGGTGCGCCAAATTACAGGGCGTTTCCAGATGCCCCAAGTGCGTCTGTATGAGGAAGCAGGCATGGTTAAGCGAGATTGCATGGCAGACGTTTAAACGGCCAAATTGGTAGCCGCAGCTGGAGCACGGTCATCCCTTGCAGTGTACAGTGTGGAAAAGAAGACCATCACTTGCAAATATTTTTTTGATAACTCAAGGGCAGCAGATTTTTGTACAAAGCACGAAGTTGGGTCTTAATGGCCTCATTCCACAAAAGCAACAAACACCGATTGTTGTCCGGCGACACCACAAAGTTCCGTGTCGCTGATGCTGTCGCACTGTAACGACCAACACCTGCGACAAATGCCGACAAATGATCAATGACGGACGAGCTCTTGTTTGTCATTAAACTTGAAGCGCCGCAAGGAACATCTCTTGAGAAACAACTCTTGGAGACAAACTAATCCTCCCCACCCTTCTACCATTCCTCCCGTGGCTCACTCCGCCGCTCGACCTTGAAAGAAGGCCTTGGCGGCCACTGATCGTTCCTGCAGTTCCCGTTCCTCGATTGCCCGTAGTGGTCATGGCTTCCTTGCTGGCGGTCGTGTTGCGGAAGAGAATTTGCGCTGTGGCTGGTTTTGCTCACGAAAACCTGGTGCACGAGGTGGTGCTTCAAGACGCTGAGGTCTACGCCCCTGCATCAAGATGGATACACTGGCGTTCGAGGACTGTCCAAAGTAAGGCCGCTTACCACGATGTAGGACACAACGTTCCAGCAAGCCATTCCAGCAGACGAGAGACTTGTCATCTAGTTTTGTGATAATCGGGATGCCGTATGTCCCCCAAAAAATGTCTGCCCTCGATCATTTGGATATAAAGTTAAAAACATCCTCAAAATCTGTATGAAATTTCGTGGTGCTCACCTAGAATGCCTAGATTCAGGAATTCTAGTTTGTAAAAAGTTTGGTGTCGATTGTCACGACTGTTTGCACAAAGTCGCAAAGGCAAACAAAGACTAGCAAAAGCTATACTTAAGAAATAAAGTAATTGTCTCCACTTTGATTGTGTTTGTTCATGCGTGTTACGCCCAAAGAGCAAAACAGGAAAACCGTGTCGCCAGACTCTGTTTCTGTGTTTTGTTGACAACTCCAGTCCAGCTAGGCAACAAGTTTTCTTGCCCCGTTTCTGCGTCGTGTCCACCAGGTGGGATGGCGGACTCCGACAAACAGGCGGTCTGTTGGTGTCGCTTGTTGCTGTTTGTCGCTCTAGTAGGACGTGGCTATAAGGGTAAGAACTCAACAACTTCAGTCCAAGTTCACGGTGGGACTGGATACGACCTGCATACTGTGTGGTCAGGAGGAGGAAACGGACATGCACATTGTGATAGAATGACAGGCACTTCAACCACCAATGCCACTCGAGGTACAAGACTATGCTACTGTGCTGAAGCTGCAAGGAAAGAGACCGACGCAGCAAGTACAGCCAGTGTGCAATGGAGTGGCGCCAACAACCGACTGGGTTGACCTAAGGTGCTGGTGGACAATCCAACGGTGGAGAAGCGGTGGTTAGAGGACTGGTGGGTCAAAACTCTAGGGAAGGCAGAAGGAATACCGGGGTTTGCAGTTTTTTTTATTTTTTAAAGTTTATATGGCTGGACCTAGTTTAAGCTGTGATCGCCCGCTACAAACAGTTTAGCCGACAGAATCCAATCCAATCTGTTTGTAGAATGTCGGGGAGGGGGTTCCGTCCATCACTGACATCACGCACGTCCCTCCCCGAAAAGCATCCCCTGTGTGAATACCCTTTAAATTATGAGGTCTGAAGCGTATCTCTGACTGCTGTGTTTAGTGTGCTATCCTGTCCATACATCAAAAGTGGGGCATCTGAAGTGTGGTCGCAAACTCCCAAGCAGAAGAGAAAGCCAACTGGGTGTCCATCGTCAGGGAGCCAGCTGGATCAGTGGAACACACCACGTCTTTGATCGACAAACTGCTCAAGCTGTTCGGTTACCAGCTCGACCGCAAGCTGGGAGACATCAAGGCCCACTTTCGCAAAGACCACCGCCCGGCAAACACCAGCACCATCCTCAGCAGCTCCACGGGGGTGCTAGGCTCCCTAGATCACCGAAAATTTGACAAGCTTGTCTGCAAGCTGGGCACGCAGGGAGCCCTTGCCAGGTGCTCAAGACTGGCCTGCTAGAAGTCAGTAGCCGATGGCGGCCCAGCAAAGACCACCGTCATGCTCTTCACCCTCTTCATTGTCATCATCCACACAATTCATTTGTACAAAACCATTTCATCATCATTAGAAGCGGCGCCGCAGGCCTTCAAGGTATGGGCGATTTGCCTTTTTGCTGTGCCGCAGCTCTCCGGAGCTAAAATAAATATTTCATATCATATCATAACATGCGACGTCATAAAAGTTAAAGTGTTATGGTGTCGCATGTTGCCATCCTGGCGAAAAGCAGAAGCGAATGCGGGTGTCATTGTCGTCACCTCGTCCCAACTTCTGACTGCCGAAGTTGTGGACTATCACACTAGACAGCAAGCTGCAGCAGAACAAGCGCCATCAACCATTGCTGCTGGGACACCGTCAGGATAGCGATCGGCGACAGCTTGATACTTCTGGGATGTCATGGGGCGTTAATCAAGGATGCAGTTCTTTGGACGCGATAAACACACCAGTCGCGTTACAGGCATACACTAGGCTCGTTCGATTTACCTGCTCCTCCTGCACCGGTGCAGGAAAGTGTAGGGGGCGTACTTCCGGTTGTATCTCAATACTACACTGCCCTACATTTTTCTGCACCGTTGCAGGAAGTGCAGGTAAATTGAACGAACGTGCTGTCACTGCTGCAGCTGCCATTCGACCCCTGGTCTTCTTAGTGTCTCGGTGCTTACGAAAGAAGCAAACACATAGTTTATCGCTTAATTTGGTACTAAAAATAAATTAAAAACTAGGGGGGTAATTTGGAATTGTCTGTAGGTAACAGCGTTTGATGTCTGTTAACGACACCCGGAATATGGTTCAACCAAATGAAAAATCAAATAAAAAAAATTTTTAAATTCTTTCTCACTTTTCCGTTCTCCGCCAAGCGAGAAAACAAAAAGGATCACGCTCCGACAGTACATCTTATGACCGCTCAGACGAGCAGCAAACCGACGCGTAGCGTAATTCAACCATCAAGGAGATGTCGCGATACGGACAGTGGCAGTAGCAGCGCTGACTCACAGCTCATCTACGAAGGCAATGCGCGTTTTCCGCCTAGGATACGGTTTGGCGCTAGATTTTTAGGCCCAGAGTGCGCGTACGGACCTCTACTCCGCGAACCCGTTCGTGACGATCGAGTTCAAACGTGGCAAATAGGGAATCCAACTTTTCCATCAACTTGGAATGATCGATCGACCAACATACCGATGACACGATCGGGACACGGGACCGACACAGCCATCGTCGAAGATGGCTCGAGTTCTTTTCTTCCCACAGCAACCAGCAGTCTACAGGGAGACCGGGAGATGAACACACTGCCTTGGTTTTCCTCCGATCACCATAACCCGGCTATGAATCACAACTTGCTAACTTTTCAAAGTTACCATCAGTAGTATGGTGCCTGGACCACTCTGGTGTATTTAGAATACATCAAAACCATGATCAAAACTCGTCCCGAAGTGGCAACAACTGACGTCACAGAAGCCGGAGTGTCATGCTGTCGGATGTCGCGATCCTGGCGGTTGGTGGTAGAGATGCTGGCGAAGTTTTCGCGCGCGCATGCATGATCTCTATGGATCCCAGTTCTACCCAGTGATTCTACCCCAGTGTGGGCGGGACTCTGGCAAAGGGGATAGAAACTTCCTTGGACTCTGGTGACAAAAAGTAACAAAAAAGTGGTTAGTTGCCCCATCCGCGGTGAAAGGGCGCTTTTACGAGTTTTAAATAATTATTTGAGAAACTTTCGCTCATTTTAAATTGCTCGGTTGTCAATATAATTTAGATCATGCGAATAATATGTTATGATTCTAGTTCTGCTGTACAATACATTTTTATTGACACACGGCCCTTGATCACGTGGTTTGCGATTACCAGAGGCTTTCTACAAACTGTGTGATAAACTTTGGTTTGGGCCGACGCCACTAACCTTGCGTTCGGAGTTTTCTATCGAAGTTGTAGGTGTTGTAGTACTGCATAACTTGTGGTGAACGGGAGTTTTGCGTGAGTAATCAGGCGGCAGCAATCGGCGGCGCTGCCTCGAAGTGTCAAGATGCGCAACAATGTCCTCATCAGTTGCGCGCTCATCAATATCGGTATTCAGTGGGGTTTCTTCGTCATTTCGGCCGTGCTCAAGACTGAACTCCTCTTCGACATCGTAGGTGTGTGCTAGTTTGAAATGCGACTGTGGGGGCGAATGCAAAAAGTTTAGCGGTATCTAAAACCCTTAGGGTGAGACGTTTCGTTTTCATGTCATGGTCATGGATACGTCAAGTCGGAAAGGCAGCTCTTGGGGTTGCTAATTATCTTGCCTTCCTGTCAGATGTAGCACTAGCCGAACTTACCTTGCTTTCGTCGTTTTTGAAGAGTTTTAGCCGATTTCCTGTTCTCCTTAAGAAAAACCATCGTTGTTTCACCGTGCACGCGCGAGGTGATATATGCTCTTTTTCCCAGTGGCATCTGACAGGTCGTTGGTAAACAGTATTAATCAAAATTGAACCCAATTCACGCCTAATCTGGCTCAATCGAACCTAATCTTGGCCTGTAAGTTTATGTTGAGCTTAAATAGGCCTCGACTCTATTGCTATTTCTAGGATCTTATTCAGCAATGAGCTGAACGTGAACGCGGAGTTGTTACCATACATGAGCCCACACTGTCAGTAGAGCGGGGCAGTAAAGTAGTGAATTGAGCTAGTTGGTACTTCATGTGCAGTTCATGTGTGCTTCAAAAAGCACTTGATGCACTTTTTGTGCGCTGTGTTATCATGTTTATATGTCAGTAGAGCATACATGGAGTGCAATCACATGGGGCAAAGTAGAAATGAAAGTTTTGCACGAAAACTGAAGGCATCTAAATATTTAGTGGCAGTCAGTTCATCGAACAATGTTTTGTCGACAGATGGTTTCAGCAACACACAATGTTTCGTCTCCAGATTGTTTCATCGGCAAATTGTTTCATCTACAGCTCAGATTAGCTTTTTTTTGTCATAAGCTGTGGGAGACTGCCGTCGCATTTCGTTGCCGCGAAGCGGCTTGAATGCAGGCGGGAAGCTGGGCTAACGTGCACCCCAGTGATACACGCGTGGCTAAACATCCCTACAGGGTGCGATTCGCGTAACGAGTGTCGATGAAGCATTCGTATCGACAAAACGTGTGTCCACGAAACGTGTGCCCATGAAAAGATGTCCAGGAAACCGAGTTTGGACGAAACGATAGGGACCCTTAAATAATTGCCGGTCAAGCGAAATCGGATGGGCTGTCTTTGTCTCCCAAAGGCTTTGAATGGCATTGTGCTCTCCGATTAAAGCCACAGTTCCCCTATGAAAAGTGCTTTTTCTGTGCCTGGGTTCTTTCTTGGTGCAGCTCGGGGAACCAGTCAAGATCACTTTGACCAGCCTTCAGTTTGGCTAGGGCTCCATTTTAAAGCATTGAATTAGCGAAACTCCCCATTCCAAAATTCCGTTTGTCTCTGCCCCCGGAGTCACGTGACCCGTACACCAGTTTCCCCACTGAATTTGGCGAGAAAATTCCCGTTGGGACCCAAACACCGATTCAGTTTCCCCGCTAAACTTAGAAGGGAAATGGACGTTGCGTGACTTCAAGTCGGAGCTTTTTTTCTGCTGCGACTCCGAGTGGCAGCCCGTACGTGACTCGAAGGCGCAACGGAGCAGGGGTCTTTGAGGCGACTGGCAACGCTCACTTCGTGCCCCAATGTTGCGGCTGTTCAGGCTCCTTCACGTTCATCTTGCTGGTACTGCTAAGCTACCACTGGGGGAGCAGCTACACACTACGGCAGCAGATCCAGACCTGGATGGTCGTCATCTGGGCTCTCAGGTCAGATCTCGCTTGTACTCAAATTTTTTGTCCTGATTTTTTTAATGGTTTGCTGTCACATTCCCAAAGGTGGTCCACCCTGTATTTTTCGCCGGCTATTTCTTCATTTTGGGGTCCGAGGGGATTCAACATAGTCTGCAACGTACAGTTCACCCTTGCCTTGTCCACTGATCGGGCAGCTGGCAGTATTGTTAAATAAATAAATATCTGTTACTCCTTCAGGGAGGGCAGGGCAGAGCCACTTTAAAGCCAAGTGTTCTAGCGTCTTGCCCTCACTATAACATACGGCATATGAGTCTATCCTTTGAAATTTAGCCCTATACCGTAAAATTCTGTAAAAACTCCCCCGTCCGAGAGATCGCCCGTCCTGTTTTTCTGGCTAAGTATCTGTAACATAAAAATTTCAAAACATTGCCCACCCCCGATTCTCGTCGGACGTCATGTGATGTCCGGCGGGAATCACATTAATCGCGCGATCTGTGGTATCAATACATCTGACAAGCAAGTTCATAGCAAGTTCCCGCATTATTGTCCGCGATCTGCGCGCGACATGCGAGAATGTAGCCGATTCCCGCATTTTTGTCAGCGATCTGCGCGTGTGATATTGATTTCCTCAACACGCTACTTGTTCCCAAGTGTATATTGTATCGTGAAATGCGGTTCTACTGTATCCGCAATCTGCGCTATTCGTTGCCATGACAAGTGAGTCTGACGAATTCCCTTCTTCTTGTCAATGATGTGCGTGCACGATATCGGTTCCCGTAAGAGGCAAGTTTGTAGGATTATCAAGCTATATGGTGGAGACTTTGTCTTATTTATTTTATTTATTTATTTATTTCAAGATACTGTTAACCCCACTTGGGGTCATTACAGGAGAGGGTAAAAAAAAAAAAAAGTACGGTACTGAACACTGCAGCAAAACAAAAACACCGCACACATTACAGGAGACAAAATATGATCAGAAATAAACAGCAGCAGGAAAACAAGAAACACTGCATCAACAAGTGTAGTTTACAATCATATTACAAAGAAAACATTATTAAACTAGCAAACGGAATGCACCACTCAATAGTAACAAACAAAAAAACAAAAAAACTTCGAACTCCCCATAGTTTTGGCTGGTTTTACAAAGAACGGTGGCCCTTCTAGGTCTCACAAGTTGCACCATCACAGAACACGGTTGACACCGACAGATCATTATTTCTATTGGCACGTATACTGAAAATCTGTGCCCTAAGACCTGGCTTGGCGGTTAGGCCTAGAGTGGCCACACCTAGCCCCGTCGGAGAAGAGCAACCTGCGACGGTAACGGATGAGGCTGTACAAATGCCTACAGCAGACGGAAGCACGCCATCCTCGACGCTCAAGGCACAATGGAACTATAATAGATACGAAGTGGTCAAGGATATATGGAAAGGAGTGATGGTACCAGGACTGTCTTTTGGCAATGCAGTACCGGGCATGAAATCAGAGGTTCAATCAGTATTAGAAATTCGACAAAGAAGAGTAGGCAGATTGGCTATGGGAGCACATGGAAAGACATCAAATGAGAGAGCACAGGGGGACATAGGATGGTCGTCTTTTGAGAGCAGAGAAGCAATTAGTAAGTTGAAATGTGAACAAATGTTGACCGAAATGGATGATACGCGGTGGTCACGGAAGGTGTGCGAGTATTTATATATGAAAAGTTTAAACAGAAAGTGGACAATCCGAACCCGAAAGCTTACATTTAAATACCTATACACTAGTGATGGGGCGGAGGAGACTACTTCAGTGGAAAAGGAAGTGAAAGAGGCAGAGAGGAAAATGTGGAGAGAAGAATGCAGGAGAAATCAGCTCTAACAGTGTACAGGTCATGAAAGCAGGACATAAGAAAGGAAAATGTGTTTGACAATTCACTGGAAAGTTCTTTCCTGTTCGAGGCGAGAATGACAGTTTTGAGGACGAGGACATATAGGGATGAATTTCAAGAAACAGACACATTATGTGCTGCCTGCCATAATGACAGCGAGACACTAGAGCACTTGGTTTTGAAGTGCACAGGGCTTTGCCTTACCCTACCTGAAGGGGTAACGGATTTGGTCGGAGCCCTGGGGTTTACTGGCACGATGGAAGGACGGAAGAGAAAAGGATTAGAGTCACAAAGAGGTGATTAGAAGATTGGTGGAAATTATCCAGGGAAAATTGAACGACGAACAACTAACTAGCACTGCTGGGGACAGGCAGGACAGAGAAAAGTTGGGACTCCCTCCCGCGTGGCTCCGGCCCAAAGTCTCAACCCTGTCTCCCAGTGGGTCCGGTGCTGGAATAACGTCGGCAAGGTTTGACCAGAGGAAAATTGGCGACCCCCTCGACGGGGGGAAGAGGTGGGGGAAGAGAAGGGGGTGATGTTTTTAGTTTTTTTTGCCTGATTCTCCGGTTATCCTGGTGATATCCCACACTGCCTGGTGATAGTTAGGGGGAGAAAATTGGTCTTAAAAGGGCGGGAAGAATCATGTTTGTTTTTTCAGACGCTAGGTGGCGCAAGCTACCACCCGTTACAAAGAATATGACCATTAGCATCCATCCATCCATCCGGTTTATGAACGTAGTTTATGGGCACCATGGTGCCCATAAACCACGTCACCATGAACGTTCTTTCATTCTAGGAGGCCCTAAGATCGCCCAAGCTTGCCTTGCCACAGTACGATCAAAACCTCTTGCGCAACTCGGCTACTCAAACATCGCTCTCACCCCCGGCTTTGACTTTCCACCCCGCATGCACGTGCGAGATCGTCCTCAACGATCTCATCGTCCTCAACGATCTCATTGTCGCCGGTTCTGTTTGCCAGCAGGTTGAAATCAAAATGACCAGCTTCCTACATCTCTTAATAACACTCACTCTCATCGCTGCTGTAGACGTAGTCGCCGCAAACTGCATGCTTGAAACGCAGAAGGTAAACGAGGAAGCTAAAGCTCGAGACGCCGAGAGAGCCGAACCTGCGAGTGCGTCCAAAGGGACACTATGCATTGGTCTGATGACATCCCCAACCCAACAGCAACGGCAGCCATTTTGAATGGGGTGGACCCGAGGGTCCCTCATAGGAGTTGATTTATCCGCTAAACCAGGGGTCGGCAACCCTTTGTAGCGACGAACTGAGTCGTCACAAAGCCGACTCGGGGGGGTTGGACGGCAAATCGCGAAGATATGGGGGGGGGGGGGGGGGGGGGGGGCAGGGGGGGGCAGGGGCAGGCAGGCTGGGAGAAATAAAGGAAGGGTCGATGTTCTCTGCCCAAGCAGAAGGATGCCGGACAATGCCAATTGGAAGCGCTCCTTGTTCCTGTCTAACCCCATTTGTGGTCCTAAGTTCCTTGTGATTCTTGGAAGTGTGAGGAAGCTGCAGGGGAGGGGGCGTTCCTTTTTTTGGGTCGTCCCGGGGGCCGCATAAGACGGCCCCGCAGGCCGTAGGTTGCTGACCCCTGCGCTAAACTATCGCGCCATTTTTAAAACACATTTAGCAGAAATGTTGGAACATACAATGGGTCCTAGCAGTATAGTTAGCCCATGTTTTATTTTTGGCATGTCCTGACCCTCTTTACCGGTTCAAACTGGTTTGAACCATTATTTTTTCTCTCCGGAGCTGAACCGGAACTGTACCCAAAGCCGTGAACCCGAACTGATAAATATTTTGGTTCGACACTGAATTAAATTCATTACTCAAGTCACATCTCCAAAACACCCACATTAATATTCACAACTTGAGCAGAAAGTGTCATTCTACAAATTGCAAGCGCATCCCGAGTTGAACATGCCTACACTTTGCCCTTGCGGAGCCCACAGCTGTGCCAACTTTGCCCCCTCATGGCCAGAATCTGGCTCGCACGGGCATTTCACGAGCAGTCTAGTTGGGCATGTCCTCGCATAGTCGAGGTGGGACCCACGCGGGTAGCCCAAGTTAAGCATGCCCTGCTCTGCTGCTGTGGAGCCAACCCTTATATGTGCTGCCCCTGCATGGCTCACGAGGGTATTGCTTTAGCCAAAGTTGAGACAATGATAGCGCAGTCCAAACTGGGCATGCCCACGCTGTTCCCATCTAGGACCAACATGCATTTCGTAGGGGCTGCCCCAACCCACATTGCTCATATGGGACCCACGTGATTATCAGCAGCTGTTTCTTAGACTTTGTTGAACCTGTTGGCCTAGAGCAGTGCCTCTCAAATGGGGGTCCGTGAAGGCATTCTAGGGGTTCGCAAAGCTTTGCCTCGTGATTCAAGCCTGACTATATAAGTTGTCTTTTTTCATATTGAGAGGAAACGTTCCAATTTTTGGATGAGCTCTCTCGTGTGTATGTCAATGAGATAAGTCTACTTCACACTAGCAATTAGTTATATCCATGTATTAAATCATCGTCCCGATTAATTTCTACCTTTCTATTTCCCTCACCCCGAATGGGGTCCTCCATCACCTCCACCTATCTACAAGGGGTTTGCGAAACATCAATGGTTGAGAACCACTGGCCTAGAAAAACCCGCGGCTGTCCTGAGCCACCGCTCAGGACAGCCGACCTCCCGGCTGTTGTCGAAATCAAAATGCTCGTAAGCTTGCAAGCCTTTCTGAGCATGTAATGGACACATTGGGAACCTCTGCTCTTGGGAGCCCAACTTGAGTTCCCTTGGGCAGTGTCTGCACTATCCTCACGGATGTTCTTTGAACTGTCGCCAGGCTGGGCCTCTACCTGTTCACACGCAAGCTTCGCCGTGGGAAAAATTGGCATCAAGAAAGCCTGCCACCACCGCGGCGACGGAAATATTTTCTCTGGTGGACGCTTCAAGGCAAGTTCCTTCCGGAGAAGTCAGTCTGACAGTTTCCCGCATCTGTCCAATTGCTAGTCTTTGTCCTCCATAATGACCTTGCCTAAAACTGTGTTACTTTAAAAAGTAAAGGAAATTTGGTGGTAACGGAAACAAGTGAAAGCATAAAAAGTATGCACGAAACGACTAAGAAGCAGTGTTTGGAAGTACTTAAGTATGTTGTTAAAGTACTACTTCGAGTAGGTTAAGAAAACTTGTACTTGATTTTTTTTAATTATCTATTTGTACTTAAAGTATTTTTTCTGGTGCTTTTCAAGGAAAGTATACACTCTGTGCGACGCGACTGGCGCGCCGCCGCGCGGCCGGTACCGAAGGTAGGCAGTGAGCACCCCAGAGAAAACGAAACCGAAACCACACCGCGTACGTTGGTACGCGTTGAAGTCGGAGTGGTGCTGTTGCGCTGGGTTCACAGCGCTGGGTTCACAGCTTAATGACGCAGCCTGTGCTGCGTCATTAAGTGCTTCAATAGTTATGCGTCGTATCTCGTGGAGACAAAGTTTGTTTTTCACCTCGCCGATGTTTTGTGGGACAGCGACAACGATGGAGCCGTGCCATACGACGCGAGAAATTTGGTGTCCCGATCATGTCTGCCACTGTGTCGACACGGCTGACATATTCTACACTGCCGCTCTGCGCTCTGCGTTTGTTTTCGTACCAGTAACGCCTACATGTGTCAGCGCCGATGGGACGAACTGAAATGCCATCCCACACTCGCGGGTATGCAGTGCCAATTTCGTTGGAAGAATGCCCTCCAAAGAAGTTTCGTCCCCATCGTACGAGTCGATGATAATTCCGGACAAATATGGCACGCAATCTGTACCTCATGAAGAAAGATTCGAACGGTAAAAAAAGTGACCAATATAAATCTAAAGAAAACAACCATGAAACTCGGAATCACTGGAGAATCGGCGTTTGAGTAAGGAAGCTTATGTGGTGTGCTTTCTTTCTTGATCAGCCTCATTTTGGATGTGGAAACACTGACACCCCGAGTTCTGTAGACAACAAATTTTTTTCTCGGCTTTAGAGCCACCTATCGCAAAGTGGTTCGAACTGGAAGTACCGTCCACTGGTCCCTTCCTACCTGTAAAGTGTGCACCTCCCACGATGAGTGGTATTTTCGGACAGCCTTTGACGGTCAAAGCCAGTTCCCATTTAGTTACGCCTGCCAAACTAAATTTCCACCTGGTTTTGCTATGCCAACTATTTTGTTATCATAAGTGTTGTGCCAAGTGACGGTCATGTCAAAGTACCTGTGGGCCGAAAATCAGCACCTCGCACAACAGGTTATTACACAACAGCTGACCGCAAAAGTCCTTGGCGGCCGAACCGTGTGTTGGCCGACAACTTTGTTTTCTCGGCTTTGGAACCACCTTTCGTAAAGTTGTTTCAATTGGAAGTACAGTCCACTAGTCCCTTCCTACCTCTAAAGTCTCCACCTCCCCGACCAGTGGTATTCTCTTGACAGCCTTTTCATGGTCAAAAGCGGTTCCCATTGAGTTACGCCGCCCAAACCAAATTTTCACCTGGTTTTTCTATGCCACCTTTTTTTTTTTTTTGTATAATAAGTGCTGTGTCATGTTACTGTCAAGCCCAAGCACATGTGTGTCCAAATCTGCACTTTGCACAGCCCGCTATAACACAACATTTTGGGTCCAATATTGGATATACCGTACAGCTTTATTTCTTTATTCGTTAGAAACAACTTTCACACCTGCCGTCTTAATGAAACTTGGCACACTTCGTGCAGAAACTTATGTTACATCTCACTCGCCTCCAATATCACCGTTCCAGCAGTCCTACGTTTACAGCGACGAGCGAAATAAATTTCCCACTCAAAGCAATTATGGTGGCGGCCGTCTTGCTTTTCAGAAAATTGCTCCAACTCCTTTTTTGGCCGCAACTAGAGAAATTACCCCTTATAACGACTAAAACTCAATATATACAAAGAGGAGAACAGCTAAATGCCCTTCGTAGGTCTGCCCCAGCACCCGTGCAACGTCACCCTCAACGTATCGGCTCAAAAAGCAAAAGTTTCGTCCGTGCGCGCTTCCGCCGCCACAGCTTGGCATGCGAAAAGGCGCCGCAGGCTGCTGAACGCGCCTCACGGTCGAACGCCAGCTCCTCCGCTAGCGGCGCTGCGCGCGTTTTTCAAAGCGCCCCCTATAGTTCCCGCACGGAGTGTATAACTCTCGACTTGAAAGTACATTCTCAAAATTTGGTTTGTTCAATTTGTATATATCATAAAATGACGCTTCGTCAACTCTGAAGCTGGGAACTTTCTACTCTCACCAGAAACGCAAGAGGACGTATCGCTCGTCCGGTCCTTTCTCCGAGTAAATTAATGGCAGCTAGAAGACCGATCTTAATAAGTGCCTTATAAGCTGATTGTGTAGAATAGCTCTGTGGCCCATTGACTTTATCGAGTATTTGCTGTCATTTGCGAAAATAACTGATGCACCCCCAATTATTCCTTGGACAATGCATACCTGTTGAAAAAACACTGTGTAAACGGCATCGTGAAAAATTGTGTCAAAAAGTACTTATACTTTACCTTAAAAGTACATTGTGTTTACAGTATTTTACTTTGAAAAGTCCATTGCACCCATATCACCTTACTTGAAGTACATAACCTTTCATTTACTTTGTACTTCAAGTATTTTTTACATCTGCAGTCACGCAGAAACTAAATAGCTCGAAGCGAGCGGGCGTTTTCCACTTTAACTTGGACCACGCTGAGAAGACACGGATGATAACAGCAGTTTCTTTGCGTTGATGGGCTCCCCCCTGTTTGCTTCACGTGGACAAGTCCCGAAGTCAGCACTTGTAGGAAGGAAAACCGCCAGGATAGCACTCCTCAGAAAACAAACACTCGCTCGCTTGGAGCTATTTGCTTTCTGCATGACTGTACTTCTCCCAACACTGCTAAAAAGTGTGCAGAGTGAGAAAGATGTAGGAAAGAAAAAGCTTGCACGTGTTCTCCCAGTTTTTACTTGGCTAGAGTAGGGACAGTGAAATTAAATGCAGTAAATTTGATCAACATCACTGAGGCCGCGTGTAGATGCCTGCAGTAAAAATGGTTCCGTATCTTGTTTACCCGTAATGCTGCACGGGCCGATCTGACGAGTTTTTCTTGGGTGCCGACTTGGAGGAGTGCGCCTGGGGCTTCGGAGGTGCCTGGGGCTTCAAGATCATACAGTGCAAACTATTTGTTTGCATTATATTTACACAAACACTGCAAACAATGCACACGTCTGATATCTGTGTACAAAGTAAAGAATTCCTGGTCGGCAAGTTCAAGATCCCAGCTCTTGCCCGGGCTTCAGAGGTCACCAACCAGTCAGGAGTTGGCCGATTGTTTCAAATCTTGGGCAGAGGCACGCGACGCAAACAGGCCAATAGTGGACATTGACATTCGTCCTTTGACCTTGACTGCTCCGACGAGGGCTCCCGCCACCCCGACGCCTCTGCTGAAACACGGCCCAGGGGAGGCTCGCTGGCATGTAAAGGAAAAACCCATACGAAAGATGTGCAGCCGGCAGAAAGTTTGCGAGGAGTCTCCCACCAGACCTCGAGGGCTTGATCGTCCTTATTTTTGGACAGTGCATTTGTCTTGTGTCTTGCAGCACTATACCTTCCCACTTTGTCAGCATACGTGGTGTCCCCGACCTGCACAGTTTTGGCGGCATTATTGAGTCACCACTGCTTTTAAAATTCTTGGTCCCAACCTACCCAAGGTAGCTGGTGGTTTATTGCTGAGTGGCTGGCATGTGGTCCTTTAGTGGCATTGAGTTTGAGAGTATCGTGCCCCTCAAACACACCTGCCTTGTTGCCAGTTGGGCTGCATGCCAAACGTTCCTATAATTTTGTTATCTGCACATCCCATTGCTGAACATCACCACTCAGTTTGTGGCTTTTTCCAACTCAATATAAAACATATCCTACAATCTATCTTTCCTAGAATTCCCTTGAAAACAGGACTTACCCCACAGAACTCCTTGAAAACATCTAAATATAAGAAGAAAAATGATTGCATGCACATCTTGCCTCAATGTGCCTGCATCCGAGCCCCTTGTTCTCTCCAAAAATGCAGCCGAGAAATGGAAGAAAGTTTGGCAATGTATTAGAGACGACCGAAGCAGCAGCTGGGCATACGAATGTGGCCCCCTGGACGTTGCTGAACCAGAAGCGGTCTACGACACATCTCCCCTCGCACCTGCCAAGAAAAAAGATCTAGTCGTACTGCCACGCGCATCGGCGAGCGAGCGCGTGCGTGACCAAGTGGTTACCCCGCTTAACTTTCATGCGGAAGCCCAGGGTTTGACTCCTGGGAGTTACCCGTCTTTTAATTATTCTTTCAGTTTAATGTTCTGGTAAATTCGAGAACCGTGTTACTTGTTCGAGGTCCAAATGTTCTATGCGCCAGACTTTCTACGCCGATTGTTACGGAACCCAACGCATGTACATATGGGTCTCCGCGCGGCAAGCCGCAGTCAGTTTCGCCCCAGCGCTCCATCCTGCTGTTTCGCCGACATCGACGCCTGCAACGTCAGCTTTTCTATTTTGTTTCGGGCACAAGTTCACCCCATTAAACGTTCAGTTTCTTCAGTTATTCACCGCCTCATCATTTGTCATTTATGACATTTTGATGGAGGCGCGGGGTATAACTGAAAAAAACTGAACGTTTAATGGGATGAACTTGTGAAGGCGATCGAAGTCAACGAACGGGACCAAGAGAAGATAGCTTTCATCACGCTGGATGGGCTGTACAAGTTCAAGGTGATGCCCTTCGGACTATGCACGGCGCCAGCAACTTCCCAGCATGTCATGGACACCATACTGGCAGAACTGAAGTGGCAGAGCTGTCTCGTCTACCTCGACGACATCGTAGTGCTTTCCCGGCGACTTCGACAATCACTAGCGACATTTCCGAGCTGTTCTTTAAGCCATATGGACCGCCGGCCTCACTGTCAAGCCATCGAAGTGTCGGTTTGCCTATGGCGAACTGAAGTTCTAGGCCACGTGATTAGCAACGATGGCGTTCGCCCAGACCCAGAGAAGGCCCGCGCCGTCGGTGCATTTCAGCGCTGACAGACAAGAAGGCCATGCGAAGAGTCCTAGGACTTTGTACCTACTACCGACGCTTCGTTCGAGATTTTGTAAGGATTTCCGCACCGCTCACAAACTTCACGAAGGACGCTGAGAATTTTAAATGGGCCGAGGACCAGCAGCAGGCATTCAATAAACTAAAGCGACGACTCCCCAATCCTCCTGTTCTTGGACATTTCGATCAGGTCGCGGAAACCGAGATTCACACGGATGCAAGTAATGCAGGACTTGGTGCAGTACTGCTTCAAGTGCAAGAAGGCACCAAGGAAGTCATCGCCTAAGCAAGTTGGGCCCTGTCCAAGGCAGAGAGAAATTACTCCACGTCTGAGAAAGAATGCCTTGCGGCCGTCTGAGCAATCACAAAGTTTCGGCCATACTTGTACGAAAGCCTGTTCCGCGTAGTCACGGTCCACCACTTGCTGTGGTGGCTTGTGAACCTCGAGGGCCCATCGGGACGCCTTGCTCGATGGAGTCTCCGACTACAAGAGTTCAACATAGCTGTAGTCTACAAGTCAGGTCGCAAGCACAGTGACGCCGACTGCCTGTCCAGAGCCCCCATCAAAGTACCTTCCGGCAGCAGCGACGATGATGACGACAACTGCTTCCTAGGCGCAGTGAACACCGACGACGTGGCATGACGTCAACGAGACGATCCCGAGCTGTGTGCACTAATGAAGCACCTGGAAGGGCGCGGGAGTACTATCCCACGTGTTTCCTCACGAGCCCTGCCGTCCGTCACGATTCAACGAGGTGTACTCTACAAAGAAAACTTCGGGGACAACAACTTGCCGTGGCTGCTGGTAATCGCGACTGACCTTTGAGCTGAGATCTTTCAAGCCTGCCATGACGACCCGACGTCGAGGCATCTTGGTTACAGCTGGACACTGGCCGTTATTCATGAAAAGTGTTACTGGCCCAAGCTCCCCAAAACTGTCCACCTATACACACGATCATGCCATGAGTGCCAGCAATACAAGCAACCTTCAACGAAGCCGACCAGTCTCCTGCAGCCAATTCCTTCGCCATCTGCACCCTTCCAGCAGATCGGAATGGATCTACTTGGCCCTCTTCTGCCATTGACGTCGGGAAATCACTGGATAATCGTCGCCACAGATTATCTTACGCAGTACGCCGAAACAAAAGCCCTTCCTTCAGAAACGTCTGTGGAAGTCGCCAAGTTTTTTTTTTTATCGAGTTCTGATCTCGGATCGTGGATCCTTGCTCATGGCCCAGCTGACGCAAGAGATCTTTCGTCTCAGCCGCACCAGCCATTGACGCACCGCAGCGTACCACCCGCAGACCAGCGAGCTGACGGAGAGACTCTACTATCATATTAAAAATAGCGCAAAAGAGACGGGACAAAAAGACGAAGAAGCACACAGGACAAACGCTAACTGGTAACTAAACTTTATTGAAAGCTTCCAACTTTGCTATCGCCATGCACGCGCTTAGTCTCGTTCAACAGAGACAGGGCGTACCGCCAAATCCGCACAATCATACCGCCCACCGCCTGTTCCAAAAAGTCAGCAAAACAGCTACATCACCCCGCCGCACAATCCGAACGAATCGTTCGGATTGTGCGGCGGGGTGATGTAGCTGTTTTGCTGACTTTTTGGAACAGGCGGTGGGCGGTATGATTGTGCGGATTTGGCGGTACGCCCTGTTTCTGTTGAACGAGACTAAGCGCGCGTGCATGGCGATAGCAAAGTTGGAAGCTTTCAATAAAGTTTAGTTGCCAGTTAGCGTTTGTCCTGTGTGCTTCTTCGTCTTTTTGTCCCGTCTCTTTTGCGCTATTTTTAATATGAATGTCCACTACCAACTTGCCCAGCAGACCAAGCTTTTACAAGATTCTACAAGACCATCGCCGATGTGATCTCTATGAGCACATGACATGTGGAGAGGTACATCACATTTCCCTACAACACGGCAGTGCAAGAGACCACCAGGTTGACACCCTTTCAACTGGTTCCTGGTTGCAAAGTAATGACAATGCTGGACGCGATGTTACCCCACAAATTGGCTGTCAACGGAAGCGACGACGCCCAGGTAATTGCCCAACGAGCAAAAGAAGTCAGTCAGCTCGCCAGACTCCAGATTAAAGCCCAACAATGTGTCGACACTGGTTGCTACAACCTTTGTCGTCGGGACGTCCACTTCCAGCCCAAAGACAGGGTGTGGGTGTGGACACCGATTCACTGCCGTGGTCTCGGCGAGAAACTCCAGAAACGGTACTTCGGACCCTACAAGGTACTTTGTCGACTCGGAGATCTGAACTACGAGGGAATGTCCGACAGAACAAGAACATCATCACGCCGCCCACCATGACCTGAGGTTGTCCACGTCACGCGCCTCAAGCCGTACTATGTGCGATAAGACTGTGGACGGTGATTATGTGCTACACTTGATAGGACTGTGCTCTACCAGCCTCCGTATTTTCCCATTCTCTTGTTTGTTTTGCTCCGTTTCTTTGCACGTTCCATTAAGGCGATGCACTTCTTAAAGGGGGGAGTAACGTCGCGCGCACAACTGGCCAAGTAGGCTGCGCACCCATGGCCGAAAGGTTATCGGTTTTGGCTTCCACGCAAAGAGCCGAGGTTCGATACCTGGTAGCGGAGGCACCTTTTGTTATTTTTCTAATTGCCACATTCTGTTAAATTCGAGAACTCTGTTGCATGTTCGAGGTCAGAATGATTTGCGCTCCAAATCTCCTATGCTGATTGTTCTAGAAGCCCATGTGTGTACAAAAGGGGTTCCGTGTGGCGAGCCGGAGTAAGTCTCGCCCCAGCGCTCGATCCTGCTGTTTCGCCAACATTGACGCTTGCGACGCTAGCCTTTCTCTATTTTGTCTCGGGCAGAAGTTCGCCTCATTAAACATTTAGTTTCTTCAGTTACTCGCCGCCTCATCATTTGTCACTTGTGACAATATGACATTGTGATATATTGTCAGTGTTATGTGACACTGCAGAGTCGCATGACGTCGCAGTGTCTCATGACATTACGCTGTCATGTAATATCAGTCATGCGACTCCAGTGTCCTACAACTCCACAGTAACATGTGACATTGTATGACACCGTGACGTCACTGTGTGACACATTGACAGTGTTATAAGACACTGCAGAGTCGCATCACATTGCACTGTCGCATGGTGTCACGTGATGTCACAGTTACATGACTCCACAGGAACATATGACCTTATATGACACCGTGATGTCCCTGTGCAACACAAAGTCAGTGTCAAATGTCATCACAATTTCCCCGCTAGGTTTACCAGAAAAGTACCTTCGCTAAATTTCACTGAAAAGTGCTGCTGGTTCAGAATCTGGTCAAGTGGCACATTCCTCGCATTTGATAGAAAATTCGAGCCAGACAATGTTTTCCATCGTCCCCACATTCTGGAAGATGCCGTCTGTCCCACAGCTCTTTACGTGCTGCATCTCCTCCGTGCAGCCGCCCGCGTGGTTGTGACGCTGCTCCCGACGCTGCTGCTCAACACCAGCCGGCGCAGCATTCCCCTCGGGGTCCGGGATTTTGCTGGATGGTGCCTCTGGGCCGTGGGCTTCGGCTTTGAGTTCCTGGCTGACCACCAGATGGCCACCTTCCACAGCGACCCCGCCAATGAGGTCAGTTCCAGCTCTGGCCGCCCAGTTTGACCCACCTGAAAGACGTCGGTAAAAGTCAATGAGAGCGGCCAAAAGGCGCGACCGACGCTTCCGTCTCGGCGTCGCCGTGTGCTAGCGTCACACTCATTGGAAGACGCAAGGTAGGCATGTGCTGCGTGGATCCATCAGTGACTTTGTTTGGGGGCCTTCGAGGGGGTTTGAACCCAGTAGGTGCTCTGCCTGGACCATCCTGCGTCCCCCCCTTGTGCAGCCAAAGGCAACGGTTGCATGCTGGAGGTGGAGCTTACTATCGCCGGGCGGTATTTATGCCGCTCGGAAACAGGTCCGCCTCTTCGTTCCCGCTAAGCTTCTTTCTCGAAGGAGGACACGTGGACGCATTCTAGTCGAGGAGAGGAAGTTCTAAAACTTGCAACAGGATTCGGAATCTGCCAACGTCTCTGGCCGGATTTTAACCTGCTCACAATGATTAGCTCTCTGATCCCTGCAGGAGGATAGACGTATGGGTTGAAGAATTCCTATAAAGAAATAAAGGTCCTGCCTTCGAGTGAATACACTGTCACTACTGATATCGTTTTCTTAGCTCCTCGAGCTTTGTGCGCGTATTCGAGGACTTAACGCTGTGGACGTGTTGTTTATCTGGTCCATGCTTCGTATATATGGGCACCGGACGATTATTTTTGAGCCAAATTGTAAGATTTAAATTTTGTGCTCCTGAATGTTTATGTTACTCCAAAGAAATCAGTAGCATTTCTTATTCTGGGCAACAATTTTACTGTGCAGTTGCGAGTGGGGCAGTAGAATCTTATTCAGTATCAGGGGTGGAACGGCTGCGCCATTTGCGCCATTTTGCGCCAGACGCATTTATCTGCGCCATCCTGCGCCATTTTGCGGAAACTGCGCCGCAGCCAATACATCGCGCCATTGTGCTCCAAATCGCTGAACGTGCGCCCAATTTTTTTTTTCATTTTGTCTTGGTTTCGGTTTTTATCAACTCGATTGGCAACAATGAGCGCGTTTAGCTTGGTCGGCCTTGCAATCCTTTGTTCTGTTTATTCTTCCTTTGTATCCCAATTCCCGAGTCGGAAGCGCGCGAAAAAACTCGGGGTTCCAATTCCAAGTGCTACACCACCTGCGACTGGATTGTTGTTCTTCAACCATAAGCGGCTAAGCAAGTCGGCCGAGAAGAGGTAGAGCCGTTAAGCGTCAGATTACCTGAGGCTCTGCGGCCCAGGTTCCAGACGTCAGCCAGTTGAAAACACATTAGCAAACGATTCCTTTTAGTACTTCTTCGTTAGAAGTTGGAACCGCATTCCTGCAAGATAAATCGTGATTTGATAGAACTGAAACGCAGTCCGATCCGAAACCTTGCCGGCCAGCAGCTCTCACGCGAGCGATAGATCTTGCTTGACAAACCTTGCTTCTGCTTATCGCTAAGAACACGATAACTCCGTTAATCGTAGTCTGCTGCTTCAATATTGAGTTATACAATAGTATAAACTCGGAATTTGTTGCCCTGTTCCTCCGCGCAACTGCACGTCCGTTTCTCACGCACGTCACGTGGTTCGCACATATAATTACTATCTCGAACAGGTGTGAGTTGTGCCATAAGCAGTGCTGGTTTGCATTTTGAGCAGCTGAAAGCCACTCAGAAAATATCAAGGACACTATCTGCAGAAACATATGGTACTTGCTTTTTGGTTCTCATTAAGGCTCACAAAGTTTCAAGTTTTCGCATCTGTTACACTGTTATCCCACCTACATAGGTCCCTAACCACCATCTGTGTTGTTCTTTTGTGCTGCTAAGCACAACTGAAATTGCTCCCGTGCTTGTCTAAGACACAAGCTGAAGTTCAGTGAAAACTGAGCTGAGCTGCACCTAGCCTGCTCCAGAATGTAGTTTTAGCTGCTCCCAACCTGCTCCAAAACAGCTGTTTCAGCTGCTCCCGTGGCTGCTCCCAAGTACATTTCATGAGTTCCACCCCTGAGTATTAATTTTTTTTCTGCCTAAACTTTGAATCTCTTTACAGGTGTTTAACATGATACCTTTTTTATGTACGCACCAGCTACGGCCATTCAATTTAGTGCAGTCGTGGTTTTTTGTAATCTCAAAAGGGCATGGAAACGAGCCCATTTATATCTGATTAAATGCTTTTGGAGGCTGAAATTTGAGTACACCAATAAATGTCTGCCAGCAAACAATTATTTACAAAAATACTTTGAGTGACATTGTTTTGATACCCATGCCATTGATATTGGTTGAGTGCATTCTCGAGTTGTGCTTAGTCGACAGTTTCTCCACATCACTTGGAATGTTACCACTTGTCCCGAGCATTACTCATTCTATATGGCAAAATAGTATCTACTAAATATAAATCTTTTCTTTCTTTTCAAGCAAGAAAACACAACTATATGAGTGGAGAGGAAGCGCTGATCCTTAAAGGGGCACTGACACCCCAAAGGTCGTATTATTTTTTATTGTCTAAAACGATGCAAGTTGTAGTCATATACACGCAAAAAAAAACGCATCGCAAAAAAAAATTTCCCCGGGCGCGCGCGCGCCTTTTTATTTTTGGCGTTTAAATTTCCCGCGCTAACCTCCTTGCTTCTTTCGATCGGTGACGTCAAAAGTCAGGAAGTTTAGAAGCTTTGTAGGCGACATTTCTATAACATTTAATAACAGCAATCGTAAAACATGTTTTTTAACGCAATTGCGAACGCACTACGGCCCCTCTTTTTGAAATACCAAAAATCAGATTTTGGTGTGATGTCGCTTCCTGGATTTGTATCCCCCCTCGGAAAACTTGGCCGCGCTAACGGCGAGACGGGGACAGTACTGCTCTGAACGGGGAAGAAACCGGTTTTTTCCCACGCTGGCTTCTATCCTGCCTGCTCACCTCCTCCTCGCCTCGGGTTGCTGTGGCAACGGCGGAGGTCCCAAAGAAAGTCGAGTCGCAGGAGACCGCAAAATTTGACTCACTGCACTGGCGCAGATCACGCGGGAACTTCAAATTCGGCATTTGGAAATTATATTTTTAATTAAAAAATACTGAATTACCAAGTTTCGAACTTTGAGGGCAATGTCCCGGCATCGTTTTCAATCGTTTCGGATAATAAAAAAAAGTATGATTTTGATGTGTCAGTGCCCCTTTAAACTCCCTCCCCTCAACATAGACAACCCGAGGTACAATTTTTTTTTTTTTTTTTTATAGTCCCGAGATTACTGGAAATTATTTTAAGACCTCACCCTCAAAATATTGATAACTGCATAATTACGGCAAAAAGAAAAAGAAAGTTAATTTAAGAAACCCGAATTTGAAGCTTTTACTTAAGTCTGTGGCATAGAGTGCAATCCACTTATAACGATACCACATATAACGATATACTGCTTGTAACGTTCAGTTTCTAGAGTTTCTAGACTCGAAATGACACGTTTCTAGTTCAGCTACAACGATAATCGGTTATAACGACTGCATTTCCGGGTTTTCTCATTGTCGTGGTATATGGACTGCACTGTATACGGTGAACTGGTTTCTTTCTGCTGTTCCTTGCTGCCCCTAAACAAAAATGTGGCGATGCAATCACGGGAGCATTTCTTCACATCCTCGCGCAGGCTGTGCCTCCCTCTTTGTGGGGAACGATTGTTGGGGAACGATTGTCAGACATGTGGCCCCACACCCGACCTTCGGTCGAGCAGTCGATACCGGGCTCGATGGATTTACCGGCACCAGCCTGCACCGGAGCAGAAAAGTGCAGGGCAGTGTACTTCTGGGTGCGTTTTCGCCTGCACCCGTAAACCGAATACGTCGGTGTGCACCGAGCATAGCCGGAAAAGCAGGTAAACACCTTCCCCCAGAGTTACCTATCTCGGAAGTTCTAGTCACTTATGGCCACCATCAGTTTCCCCGGTCACTTGCAGCTGGTTGAGCCTACAAAAACAAAATTTTCCACATTGAACAAAGGCAGAAGGCAAGAAGAGGGTGGAGTTTTTGCCCCTGCCACTTCTGATCTATGTTTTTGATATTTTAAAAGAAGTGGTGTAGTGTATTCATGACAGCTCTTTAAAAAAACGTTTCATAAAGAAGTGTTTCAGAAATGTAACTTGCAAGTCTCTTAACTTTTTTCGCTTCGTACGTCGACAAAGGACAGAAGAAAGGAGAAGACTTGGGAAATTCAAAACGCATGGTGGCAACAAAAAAAATATATTATTTTCTGCATTCTATTTTTGGGGGGGTGGCACGACACCACTTTGAAGACGATAAAAATATATCAAGGTTTCGGGGTTGTCAGTGGCCCTGAAGAGACTTTCCGGTTTTTTTGCTCAGTGACCACTTCTAAGTAACTAAAATTAGCCTTTGTTTAGGTGCACCAGATGGCTTGTTTGCTTTGCTCCCAGCTCGTCCAGAAGAGAAAAGATTGGTGGGGGCCTCGGAGTCTGCCTTTCGAGACGGAGGAGAGGCCGCCCAGTTCTGTCATTGCATCCATGTCCCTGAATAGAGGCTTTACAAAAAGGGGGCGCACAGTCATTGTAACATTGGGCACAAACAACGAAGGACAAAATAAGTAGAATTATAATCCGTGAGAGGTGGCAAGTGCTTTCTGATTACTGAAAGAGAATCATAGAAGACAACACAGGCTTTCCAAAATTTGGGATATCGGTTATGGTTACTATTGAGTCTAGTAGGCTGTTCCAGCTGTCAATAGAAAGTTGTTTCTGTAGACGTCCGCACAGAGGCGTGCGGGAAGAGAGGGTTGCCAAGTTCCCCATTTTAGGGTGGGGGAAGTTTCTTGCTCATACCTTCGACAGTAAACCATAAAGAGGAGCGTTATTCAATGCAAATGCTGCAGGGGTCAGCAAAGGAGTTAAACTGCCTTTCCACACCCCAGCTGCCTGTCCAAACAGTAAATTGCTAAACAGCGCGAAAAGACAATGGACGGAGAACAGAAACTGACAAGACCAAGCGCTGTCTTTCAGCTGAATGTTTAATAGAAAAACGCATCACTTGGCACACTGATTACAACACTTCCTGTCTTGCGCAATAATACAAAACAAATACTCTGGACCTGAAACACCCCCTATCCTAGGTCTAGAAAGACTGCCTTGCTGTCCAGCAAGGTTATGGACAATTGGCTGACACTTAGGTTCACTCGCACAGTCCCTGTATGCCAGGTGAGAGTACCCTTTTAGCAAATTTTACTGCTCTCTTAATTACGTGTCAATGCCCAGTCAGTCCGATGTAATCGCACATAAAGGGAACCTCGTACACTATGCCAATGACACATACTATTTTTTTAATGACAAACTATCAAGAGAGGCCTCCAGTTTGGAGTCTTGAGACCGCCAAATTTTTGCAGAAGCATACGTGCCAAATTTAGACGAAATGTAAAAAAGGAGAGATCTATTTGTTCTCAATATTTCCATTGAATGCCCCTCAATCTGTACAAAACTGTACGTGCTGTCATTGAATAGAAAAAGAAGTATAGAAAATGAGAGTTATGGACCATCCCCCATTCCCCTGACCTGGAAAAATGACATTCAAGAAACAACATGACAACAATATACAAACCTCATCCTAAAGGAACGTATTGCACCATGTCCTGTTCATAAATTGTTTCTTCCTTCATGTGAACTAAATGGTAATATGGAACACCATCACTGAAAACTTCTTTAGTTTTAAACACTTGTGGGGACCGTTGGTCGCCCTTCCCCGATGGCCAGTATAACGGCCGTGGCTCGGAACGCTCGGCCTGGTTGCCGACGCTCCCTCACGACTCACCCGCACTCTGGTCCCAAACTGACCAATGAGGGAGCACCGGCAAGGGGCGCCATGTCCAAACGGCATAAAAGCCGGGACGACAGAGTGTGGGAGCACAGTCGGAGCCTAACCATCCAGGAGTTTCAACTACAGAGTACTAACCAAATTAATAAATGCAACAGATACAAGCACCGTGGTGTGATTGCTGTGGAATTTGTGCTGGACTGTGCCAAATTGCTCAGCAACTAATGTCACTTCATCAAAACGTTTCATTTTCACCGGCCTTGAAATGCAAGATGCATTCTTTCTAAAAATCAAAATTAATTCCTCAGACACCGCTTCCATGTCCGATCTTTTGGAATGGCAGGTGTGGATATTTTAAACTTATGCATATTGGTTTGAATAAAGTAGCGCGATAATATTCGAATTTTGGCCCTCGTATCAAGTACAGAAACATTTGCTTTTTGTTCCTCAATCAAAGTCTTGAATGAATTGACTAGCTGTAGTGAGTGCGAGCCACTCATGGGGTGATCACTGCAGGGAGCTTCGTGGCTCTTTGTACCCATTCATGTCTCCTGCAGCTTAGAGACCGACATACACTTTGTACTTTCCTCCTTTTATTATTTCTCCCTTTCGCATATTCTCTCCACCCTCCAACTTGCCCCAACACTTCTCCCCCGGCAGTTTTGAGGGCACTTTATGTTCCCTGCAGAACACTGAGGTTGTATGTCAGCCTTGACGTGAACTAGAGCACTGTTTCTTCTCAATTGAGTATCTGACAATGGTAATCTTTCTCCATAACCATTATCTACCCTGTTCCTTTGATGTCACTGGCCTTAGGATATGGTTTTTCCTTCTCCTTCTGACTCAAGGGTGGAAGAGAAGGCCACTGCTGTAACATGAAATACCCTGCATTTGTGAGATAATGGCAGCAGCTGATATTTTGCTAAGTAAAAACTCTCAGGTAGCTGATACACGGAGAAATATGCTTGACTATTCTGAAGTGCCTGCTGTCTTCTCCAATTCCAGCATTCGGTGTTCTGATCTGTGCTGTTCTTGCATCCAGGGCAAATTCATCTCATCGGGTCTGTGGAGCGTGTCACGGCATCCCAACTATTTTGGAGAAATCCTGCTCTGGCTGGGGCTGTACCTGTCGGCCAGCTCGGTGCTGCAGCGCATGGAGTTTCTGTGCGTGCTCTGCCCCATTGTGGACCTCCTGCTCCTCACGAGGGTCACGGGCGTGCCAGTCCTGGAGCGAGAGGGCTTTCGCCGGTGGGGCAACGACCCCGCTTACCACGAGTACCTGCGGTCCACAGCCCTCTTGGTACCCTATCTCTGGTAGCCTGCCTTTCAAGCACATGCAAGATACTTTGACCCCGTGGTTCATGGTGTTCTTGATATTAGCTGTGGTGAGGTACTCTGGTGGTTGTAAACACCAGAAAGATTATCAGGCACCTTTCACCTACGGCATCTCTGATGTGCGGTCTGGTAGCGTGCCAAAAGACACCAAGAACTTGTACCGAGGGAACACAGTGCCTCCAGTTTTCGATGCCTCTGGCATGAAGCACAAGTGATTTCTCCCCTGTGGTACCATTCCTTCTTGCTACTGCAGAATCAGATTATGGTGCCTTGGATGGGAAGCACAAGACTGTTCCAGCCGTGGTCTATTTTACTCCTGGTAACTTACCACTGGTAGGAAACAAGGGACTAAGTACAGTCAGCACTAAAACAGATGAGCACAAATGAGCGATTGCCGGGCTGACGGAAACGACATTGCCTGGTGGGTGCCACTTTTGTAGCACTGGAGGAGCCGGCAGGCAGCGTCTGTTGGTAAGAGCACTTCTGGAACATTGCTGCTGTAGCTGCCTCAGGCTTTTGCTTGCTCGTTGAGAGCAGCGGTACCTTCTTTTTCAATCGCTGTTTTAACTGTCATTGGCACTTTTTAAGGCGCCGAACCAGTAAGGATCATAGACAACGTAGTAAAAAGAAACTTTTGTCAAGTGTAATTGTCTGCCTATGCGGAGTGCAAGTTCGTCTGCTTCTTTTGCAGGGGTTGTGGTGGCATCAGAATGCCGAGCTCTGATTGGTTCTGAATGAAGGAATAGTGGGTAGACTTCAAGGTAATCAGAGCTCAGCGTCGTTCTGACATCACCGAAACTCCTGTGCAAGAAGCAGACGAACTTGCGGTCCGCATAGTCTTCCAAAGCACCAACAGATTGAGAGGTGGGAATGACCACTCGGTGTATTTGCGGCAACAATTTGACCGCTTGTGCTAACCTTTTTTAGCGCCGACCGTACCAAGAGAATATATTTGATGCGTGTTACACAAGTGCAAGCTCGTCCAGTGACTTGAGCATATGGAACAAAGCCCTCCCCGTTTTCAGTGGGACATTACTCTGGTGCCTGAGATATGCTTGGGATGCCAAGAGATTTTAATGCAACCATGGCAGCCTTTGGGAAGTGGATTGGCTTCATGATCAAAGCTCTTTGGCAAAGTGCAAGGGATATTTTCTATAATAGCGAGTTTGTCTCACACGCACCGCGCGAGTTCTCTTCCAGGGTACATCGCAATCGCATAGTACCTCGCGGAGAACCGGGCCCGAACGAACTTGCCGAGTGCAAACTGATGCTGTCGCCATCTATTTTAAAGCAAGAATACCGACCTCAAACCGAAATGACAGGCGGGAATATCAGGCGGTGCGGTCGCTGCAATGTTCATATTTTTAATGACTTAAACAGCGCTATTGTCGTGAAGATGTTTAAAGACAAAATATCTTTCTGCCATAAAAACTGCTTGTAAGAAATAACAGAAGGCGAGCAATCTTTCCAGTCTTATATAATTTTTTACACTGGAAAAAACACACTCTATACCAACCGTGCAGAAGCTTGATCAGGGCGTAAGTCACTGAAAGGATAGGGTTTCAAACTGGTCCGTTGAAACCTCCAGCAATACGTTTCATGGCACCTTCGATTTCAATCCTTGGTTGCATACAGCTGGGTCAGCTTTTATCCCTAATGCGGAGATCGAGGGCATTCTTGAACAAAGAAGCGAGGATGCAAGATAACTGGTGTAGGTAAATGTTAAGCATGGTGATCTTGCCCGAGTCTCAGTTAAAATCGCTATGTTTAGCTTTCTCAACTGCTAATTGGGAGAGCTTTGTCAACAAATGTCCATTCGTGAGTCCACAATCGGTAATGTTTTAGCAACAACTTTTTATCCATACTCCCACAAGAGAGGTCTATAGCCGCCGCAGCTGTATGCGTTTGTCCTGATACTTTCTATCGCGTGTCGTTCAATTTACGTGAATACGGTTAGAGAACTACTCAAAACTTGTAAAAGTGTGGGTTGACAATTGCTTCCTTCAAGAAATAGTAGAAAATCGAAATTCAAGCTTGCATTGAATCCCCTTTCTCGTGGGACGCAATCTCTAGCAGAAAATCCACTTTTGTTTTTTGGTTTCACTAGGCACAAATGGCAGCTCATAGTAGACGAGTAGCAGACGAACACCTGTCGTCTGCTACTCGTCCGCTCGGTGCAAATGGCAGCTCGTATTAAATGAGAAGCCGACGAACACCTGTCGTCTGCTCTCGCACCCCGACGGGATTGCATTTTGGCGCACGCTCGATTCTCTCGGTGCAGCCAGTGCATGCACGCTTGAAGTGCCAGCCGGAGCGAACCTGCTCCATGCTGCAAATGGGCAAGCGAGAGCACAAGTGCAGTGAAACCAACTCACTATAAAGTTGTAGTGAATTTGTGAAATCATAACAAATGTAGCGGGAAAGCTTGCACTACCCTTTCTATTCCTAAAGAGAAGTTTGTGAGGCAAGATGGTCCCGGTGATTCGTGGAGGGTGCAAGTTTGTCACAAATGTGTCCATGAGGTGGGGAACGTGCAACTACAGTAGTTCTCGCGTCTTCTCGTGTATGCCTTGGGTGCCTTTTGAGGTTCCAGTAGATGGACAGCACATGCAGCAGACAATGTACTACCGTCAAAATTTGGAGGTAGTCATTTATTGGGGGATGGTCGCTCCTTGAGTCAATAATATGTAAAATTATGTCCTCCGTGTATTTTATGAATGTTACAAAATTGATGGGGGGGGGGGGGGGGGGCACCTATTGTGGAATGGGCAGATGCTTGGTATTTTATGGTAGTTCTTGAACCACAAACTCTAGTGATGTTTATGGTGTATTCTCACGATGGAATTTTTCTCGTGGAGAAGTCTTGGGAGCGGGCATACGTCATTGAGTTTGGAGGTCACATGACCCGCGTCATGGGGATAACCGCGGAGGGCCTGTTAGCGGCTCACCGTCACCTCGTCTGGATGGAAATGGCAACGAACGAGCCAGCGCTGCTTTGCCCTTTTACTCTTAGTTTTGCTCTTAGCTGCGCCTCGACGGAAAACACAGCCGACTCCCCCGTGTGAATGCTAGCCCGGTTATCTCCGAGTGTCGTCGCCTCCGTCGCGGCTTATCCTCCTCGCAGGTTTTTGACGAAGCCAGTTTCTCAAGTTTTCATCGTGGAGATACATCTCTCGTGCGAATACACTATTTAAGCACAAAAATCTAGCAAAGATCAACTACCGTTAAATCCCAAGCAGGTGCCCTCTCAAAATTTGGAGATAATCATGTAAATGTAAAGATATGTAAAGATATTGCTCGCGTATGTTTTGTATGTTACAAGATTGAAGGGTGGGCATTTATTGTGGAATGGGTGGATGCTCGGTATTTTACGGTACTTGCAGCATTTCTGGAAAGCCCTTAGATTATGGCAGCAGCCCACAGCTGCTTGTAAGGCCCCAATGTTGTTAAAATTTCAGGTTGGACGAGTTGGTTGTTCATGTTGGTCGACGTTGCAGTGCATTTGAAAACCTCGCTCCAGCTTCCAAACACACAAAAAACAAAACATTCACACAGTGCTTACTAACAACTCTGTATTGCGTGATAAACTTCTGCTTCTACTTCTACTTCAGTTGAAGACGATTTTCAACAAAAAAAAGGAAAAAAGCCACAAAATGAAAAAAAAGGAAAAATTCCCTTTTAACTGCAAAGAAAAAAAAAAAGTTTTTTTAAACAGCCTATATCGGACAAGCATGTCACAAAACAAATCTTCCGCGAAAAAGCAAATTTTTTCTAGAAATATTTACGCCGCAGTACGTAATTTAGTCAAAGTCACAACTTCTCCACATTTGAAACTCCCACTCTTTCGACGCGCGCGGAGTGGCTGTTATACGTCACTCTATGACGTATAGCAGCCTCTACGTGACGTATAATACAAACTTTGTGGCACGCGATTTAAAACGGACGAAATAGCCGCAAACTAAAATCAGTCTCGCGCAATTAATATTGCTGTAAACATTTTTGTTTTTGGCAGAAAAATTGTTTTGTGACATGCTTGTCCCAATTAGGCTGTTTAAAAATACAATTTTTTTTCTTTGCAATTACCCTTTAACAAACTTGCAACTAAATAATCCCTCGTTTTGTTGAAGTGGAAGTAGAAAAGAACTAGAAGCATAAATTGAAATAGGAGCAGAAGTGGAATAAGTTTTTTACGCAATGCAGTTTGTGCTGCGTAAGTGTTTTGTTTTTTGTGTGTTTTGGAAGCTTGAGCAACAGTTTTTCGAGAGTGCTGCAACGTCGGTCCCGGTGTTATCAAACCAGGCTTGATAACATCGGCAGTAGCCCGAGGTGGTTGCAACTGAGGTATGTGGTTGTTTAGGTTTATTTCTTTTTACTTTCGATACTGCCGAAGCATTTAAAAAAATGCCACGTTTCTAAAGCATTTCCTACCAAAGTCAAGCTCGCAAATGAATTAAAATATGTCTTTCTCAGTTTGGTTTCTTTTTTGGGAAGGTGCAGGAGAGATGGTGCTATGCAATTTGGGATCAAAACAAAAACCTGTTTGCTTTGCCAGACGGTTTTATAGAAATGGCTCACTCCTAAGGGGACATGTCTCAAGTGCAGCTTTTAGGTGAGAACACCGCTCTATCTAACAGCTTTCCCAGTTGGGTGGAAGTTGTTCATCCTAGCTGCAGAAATGAACTCGACTGCTATGCCATGCCATAACAAAGTCCTTTTAGGACAAGCTCTGGTAGGTCAAAGGGATGATGTTTCAAGACCCCCGGTTTTTTCCCAAGATCTGAGGTTTGGCAAGCTGGTCGAGTGACCTGCAATGTGTGTCATTGCAGGTCACTCGCTGTCGCTCAAAGGAAGGAAAGTTTCCCGAACTGATGGTGCTGGGGCTGATATGGTTGATATGAAAGAAGCTGCAGGTACTCTAATCAACTGTGTTTAAATCAGGGACTCTAACCGTAACCGAAACCGAAAACCGTTTAGGAACGAAATTTTTTCTGTAACCGTAACCGGAACGAAACCGTTATTTGATATTTATAAAAACCGTAACCGGAACCGGAACCGTAAATTATTCACCGGTAACCGGTTTTAACCAATATTAACCGAAAAATAAACTATTAGTTTTTCTGAAGTATGACCTGGAGGAGGGATCTTAAATTGTTGTGGCCATTTGACAGAGTTACTGTCAGCGAGTGGTGCATCTGGTTACATATTTCCATTCAATCTGACTTTAGGATTAAGAATACTCAGATTGAATTAGTGGTCGAGCTTATAATTAAAAAAATTTATATTTCTAAATCTGCCACACTCCTACATCGCTACATGTATTCAGTACGTGTCGCTTTCAGTGTATTAACTAAAAAGTTTGAATTCTCAGATGTCCATCCAACTCGGTTCTATCAAAACCACCGATGTTCCTGACATGCAGTAGCCAGTATAAAGAAATGAGGTAAATTGGCCATCATGCAGAGCAGGCGGAAAAGAAAATCTGGGCGGGCCCGTTTGCTCGAAGCGCTAACCGCGGCTAAAGTTAGCAGCAGTACCTAGGAGAGGGAGTTTGAAATCACGTGACTGGGGGCTGGGATGCCGGGAAGCATGGCGGCGCCCCGGTGCGTGAGCGCCGCTCGCTTTGTAACTAATATGTCGTTGTAGCTGCACTATCGGGCGCGTTAGTCAGCAACGAATGGTGCAGGAGGCTTTCACTTTGCCTTACCTCGCTTAAATCGCAAAGCACGAGCAATGACTTCGCGGCATTTGTTGCATAGTCTTCCGATTCTGGCCTTTCTAAGCCTAAATGAACGCGATAAGTGTCGGCATGGCAACGTCTTTGGAAAGCGGATTGCCTTGACTCAATCGACCGGATATTAATATTACACTAAAGAAGACCAGCGTCCCGCCCCGACAGACCTTTTTCTAAATTACCCAAGCATCGAGAAGAACGCTGGAAGTGTAATTCTATGGTCCGCGCTCGCTGTCCTTCCTCTTATAAAAGATTCGAAGTAAATAATCATTATAAGACTTGGACGAACGCGCGTGCAAGGCAAAATTTGTTTTAGACTTTTTCCTTTAGAACGATAGGCCCGTAGCTCACAAGTTTTGAGCAGCGCTGCAGGCGAGCAAAATAGAATATTTGGCTCGCGTTTCGAACATGCATCAATACGCTTCCCCACTAGAGTTTTTTCTACTCAGTTCCATTCTAAGTTCCAGCGTAGCAGAGGCTACAAGAGCGAGCTGCGAGCTTTCCGCGTCCCTACCAAGCACGCGCGCTCGTGCAGTGCGAGCATTGTTTAGGATGACGTGCTTTTCCGAGTAGCTTCGGCTTCACTATCACGTAAAGTGAAATATATGTGCTCGCGGAAGCTGTGAAAGAAAGCAAATATGAAAGGAATGTTTAAGGGAACGCTGCGGCCGCAAGCAGCATAATTCTGTTCTTTTTTTTAAACTTTTTTTAGACATTTTGTTACCGCACATCTACAGATGCTGACAGCGGCTTGTATTCGAACGTGGCACGTGCAAAATCGAACGTTACAGCGCCACACGGATGATGCAGCCAGCAAAACTTGGTCGCGTCTTGCGTTAAGTCTTCCGGACGCGCTCGCGCCCCCTGCCCAGAGCAACGGGTATATTACTACTGCATACGCCAACACGCGCAATGCCTGCAACTACACTCGTAGCATGCACCTCGGTGCTTGGGAAATTTGTGTGCTATCAATACAAGGCTGATTGAGTCAAGGCAATCCACTTTCCAAAGACGTTTCCCTGCATGCCGACAATTATCGTGTTCATTTAGGCTTAAGAATGGCCAGAATCGAAATACTATCTAAAAAATGCGGCGAGATCATTGCTCATGCTTTGCGATTTAAGTGAGGTAAGGCAAAGCGAAAGCCTCCTGCACCATTAGTTACTGACTAACGCGCGCGATATTGCAGCTACAACGACATATTAGTTCCGAAGCGAGCGGCGCTCACTTTGCGGGGCACCGCCATGTTTTCCCGCATCCCTACCGATCCCTGTCACATGATCTCAGAATCCCTCTCCTAGGTACTGCGGCTAACTTTAGCCGCGGTTAGCGCTTCGAGCAAACGGGCCCTAAAGCCCCTGTATCCTGGGAAAAGTGGCGCCTTCATTGTTGTGGAAACGCGCGAGACACGTTCAGCGCGCCACTTCTGGAAAGAACATGGCGTCTGAAATCTAGCTCAGTGCTGCGCTGTGCCGCCATGACCTTCCCAAGGGATGCACGTTGCACGTGCCTCGTGCATCGACGCACTTTGCGCTACTTTTGAAACATGAAGGGGCTTTAATGGGCCCTGCTGTTCATTAATAATGTTTATGTTGTTCATTTAGTGTGAAACGTGTCGCGAGTGACGATTTTGAAACAACACAGAAAGAAAAAAAAAGTCAGGGGTTTGACATTGGCGTTTTGTATTATATATACAATATATATAAATATATATATGCTCGGGCTGAGAGTGGTGGAAGGAGCGAGGAAACGTCAGAAGGGTGTCCGAGTTTTTTTCTTTTCCTTCCCGCGCCGAGACCCTTCTTCAAACCGAGTGGCACCCGCCGCCTAAAGCCCCTTCATGTTTCAAAAGTAGCGCAATGTTCGTCGATGCACAAGGCACGTGCAACGTGCAGCCCTTGGGAAGATCATGGCGGCACAGCGCAACACTTAGATATTTCAGACGGCATGAATTTCCCAGAAGTAGCGCGTCGCACGTGCCTCGAGCATTTAACAACAATGAACGGCACCACTTTTCCCAGGATAGAGGGGCTTTACCGTCGCCGGCACTGCCACGCCTCTCAGCTTCTCAACATGACAAAAGAAAAAGCCAAGGAGAAGGATGCCTCCTCGTCAAACGCGCCAACGCGCCACCCTCGTCCAACAGACATGGGATGCAATTTCTGCCTCCTTCGCCTGAACCTTGGGAGCTGCCCTGCTTCCAATCGTTGATGGCCTGGCCAATCTCGCCCCACACGGCCAGCAGTCTCAACAGTCTCTCTCGCAAAACTGTGAACGCGAGCTATTCGAACGTCGGCACGGTGAGCTCGAACATCCACAGATGCGCCGAGAGATCGCTTCCAGCATCGCCGGAGGCCTCCCCCTGCCACCGCCGGAGGTGTGGCTTCTACGAGAATCATTTCTACCAGAGCCACCAGCGCAATCCAACTACCTCTGATAGAGCCCCCACCACCCATGCCGGAGCGAGGGTCCGTCATGCCTACGACATTCTGAGCGACCTCACCCAGGACACCATAAGTTTCTCCACGAGAGATGTCCATGAGATCAGGCATCTCCCCCGCCATCGGTTCTACTGGGATGACATGCTCCCCGAACACCAGCACCTCATTTTCGATAGACTGGAACTCTTCCACGTCGTCGCGAGAGGGAACTGTAGGACGGCAGTCCTATCCCAGACGTCGAGGATTTGAGTCTGAGGTTTTCAGAGAGCTCCCCGACCAGCTACCCAACCAGCCTCGACGCGGACGCCACACGCCTCGTGCTCCCGCGCACACCAGCTACCGCCCAGACACCAAGTCGAAGAGGCCCCCTAATCGTGAGTCCGGCAGCTACGCTGAGTCTTCGAAACCCACCAGTGCCGTCATCGACGGCACAGTCGTCTCCTCGACGCTCCTGTG